GCCGGTCATGTCTGGCTAAAGTTCTAAAAGCTGGTTACGATTATTTTCCTGAAGACAATTTTTTTAAAATGTGGCAGTTTAATGGAAGATTGTATTCTGTTCTTTTTTTGATGAAATAATAAAATTTTGTGCCATTTTATTCAAGAATTTTTATAATTTTCTTCAGAAAAGAAGAAACTAAGAATGAAAATGTTTTGTCTCCAAATAAAAGCGCAACAGAAGAGCAACTAGAAAGGTATGGTGCTGTTAAATACTTTGTTTTCGGTCTATAGATATTTGTTTAAAATTAGTAATGGAGTAGACTCAGTCTCCACACTATTTGGTTTGACGCGCCAGTTTTAATTTACATATATTAACCAGTCACGACTGACTTGGACTTCGAATGTTTGAGTGAAAGATTGGTTTAAAGGCAAAATTATTAATTGATTTTTCACTTCACAATGAAAGTGAATGACAGATCTGAATAATATTAATTATTGATTAAATTGTAAATAATATCCCTTGTATAGCAGTTTTCTTTCCAAGTTGGAAAATGTTTAAAATTTTATCAATTTGATCTGTGAATTTCAGGGAATTAGCCGGTATAAATTGGAGACAACGAAGAATTTCAGGAAGGACGAAGATTACATCGGGAAGTCTGTCAACAACTGTGATTGGTCGCCATCTTGTTATAACGCCAGATCTATTTATAGACGATACCGTGCCAGACACGACATCTCACGCCATGTCTGAACTCGAGAAAATGATCGCTAAAAAATATCAACAGAAGCGTGCGGCTTCACCGCATCATCGAAAACAGCTGCATATTATTCGACGCCCACAAAGTGTGCCTGCTAAGGGCAGAGTTTTATATCCCACTGTTGCCTCCTTCGATCCTGTGCAGCCCGCGGCAACAACAGAAACAACAGTCCCGAACACTGTGGAATCAAAATCCAGCGAACCTATTTATATGAACGCCATATTTGGACATGGAAACTCGCAAGATGTGATCACCAAGCCTCCACGTCCAAATAAACGTTGCTATGTGAAACGGAATTCCAAATTAAATCCTGAAGCTATATATTCTTCAACTACTTCGAAAGGATTTCAAATTTATAAAAGAGATGGCTGTGACAGTAGCGTGGCTTCCGAACGGACCTCCCGGAAAGATCACATCAAGAACATTCAACGTCTTTTTGAAAATAGTTCCAAAGATGGACAAAACACGATACGAAAATCTCCCAATTCTCATAAAAATCAAGAACAATCGTCTTTGAATTCCTTTATCAAGTTTGAATCACGCTCAAATAATTCTATCAACGAAAAACAATGCCTTGGAAAAGATGCTCAAAATTCTCAAAATGGTGGTAACTTACAGAAAAACATGTCCATAAGATCAAACTTAAGTCAAGTAACTATGAGGTCTGTTGCTAGCCAAGTATCTGACCCGGAAAATTTAGCAGAAAAACAAAATACACCACCGAAAAAATTCAAATTTAAAAATATGTGGAAACATAAAAGAGGCAAATATCAACCATCTTTGGAAGATCTTACGAACTTAAATGCGTCAAAAATTCATTCCAATTTTAAATCTTTGCCGAACATTTCTTCAAATAAAGATTTTGAGTCGAACACTTGCATGAGTTTGCCAAACTCTCCAGGAGTGAAAAACAGTTTGAGTGTGGTTGATATGGGTGACATTGCAAAACTGGACAACATGTTAACGAAACAATATTTCGGAAATACGAAATTCGATCAAATTCGGAAAAGCAAAAATAAAAAATCTGGTGCTAAGAGTTTGGAAGAGATGAAAAAACAGTTTTATTCAGAACCGTCAATATCTTTGAAGAGGTCTCATGAGGATTTAAAAGGTTCCACACACTTTTCATCAGCGACAACAGAATATCACACTTCCTTAGTTACAGGAATCGTCAATGACGACACACTATCCGATATCAATCCAGATATATTTGACAGCGATGCCGCAGGATCCACAGACAATGGACTGTTTCCGTCTTCTAAGTCTCTAAATCGGGACAAAAATTCAAGCCGAGCTTCATCCCATTCTGGCTCTCGATCGCCGTTTGTGCATAGTTCAAGTGTTGTCCCAGAACCAGAAATTCCGAAAGCGAATCCAACCATTGAAATTACGCGAGTTCCTGATAAAAATCCAGAGTTATCGGACAGTTTTACAATCAGTGAAGTTGGCGTCAGTCAAGTGGACAGTCTACAACTCAGTAGTTGCTACTACAGTTCCACGCAAAGAGAATCCGATTCAGACACTGAACCAATCAATGGAATCAATTACTCCCGAACCAAAAGTGCGTTTCACCCAGTTGAAGGTCATTCAAAAGTCCAAGGTCAAAGTTCAAAGAAAGTTGATGATGACATCACATCTGTTTCATCGTTATCTGTTTCCACGACAACTCGTGGATTCTCTGTGACCGAATCTGCTCATGATACAGAAACGGACACTACATTTCAGCCTTATTCAAAGACAAACTATTCCAAAAAAGTGTCAAAAGATTCTCTTGCCAAAAGTTCAAAAGTATTTTCAGACAATCTTGCCAAACGTCTTTCATATAGTGCAGAAGATTCTGGTCAGCCATCTTTGATTCAGAGTCAAATGAAGAAAAATGAAACGGCAGAAAACAAATTAGTTGTTTCTGGAGCAGAAGACATTGAAATGTCAACATTTTCAATCCAGGCTCAAGATAGTTTTGATTTTGCGGGAAATTTTGATGCAGACTTACTGAGAGCCAAACGTAAAAGACTGACCAAAATGGCTTCTGTACAATCGCCAGTCAAGCAAGTGTATGACTCCGCAAATTTGAAACCTGATGAACCAAGCCATTCATTGAATGCTTCTGAATTTTCTGAATCAACTAAGAAAACAGAAAGCGAAAATTCGTCACCTCATAGGGAAGTAATTGCCATGACAGAATTAACTCCGAAGGCTTCATCCGTAGATCCGCTATATGCTAGGGTGAACAAAGGAAGAAAGGTGAATGAAATGGACACCATGAGTGACAAAGTAAATGGAGGTTTGCCACTTTATGCTGCCATCAACAAAGAAAAGAAACTTCCATCACAGACGTCCGATGGGTTTACTCCAAGAAATTCGTCAACTTCAACTTGTGAATTTTCTCCGCCATATGCAACTGTCCAGGATTCAGTTGCTGGTAACAATTCAACCAATCGAAATCCATCTCCACCATATGCAACAGTTGAAGAATGTACGAAATCTATAACCAAGGTAGATAACTCTGCAGATGATGAATATTTCGCGACGTCGCCTCCGTACGAATCTTTAAACGGATGCCGCGAAAATGTAGCAGAAGTGAATTCCATTCAAACTGCTGAGAAGTCAGAAAATATTACAGAAAATGATTTAGTTATTTCACCGCCTTATGCTTCCGTCGAAGACTGCAAATCAGAAATTACCCACAATGCACATCCAATATATACATCCGTTGACGAATGTCGAATCGAAACAAGGGACATTACTCTTGGTGAATCAGCTTTGAACGAAACTGAAAGCTTCACTCATTATGAAAGTGTGGTAGATTTGAAAACAAAAACGCCTCAAAATTCTGTAAATGAGACTCAGCTTGTTCCTGCAGAAAATTTTGACATTCCGAAGTCGTCTTCTCAGTGTTCATTGTATCAGACTATAGATCAAGTCCGTGGACAAATCGACGAGGGCAAGAGTGATTCTGGGATACAAGTTGAGGGTTCGGAACTGGAAATGCCTCTCGGTGAATCTGCCTGCTCTCAACGAAGAGAAGACTTATACGCCAAAGTTGGAACTTATCGTAAGAAAAGTGTGAATGGTGCTGAATGTGTCGTGTCTAATCGGTCGTCGTTAGATGGAGATGAGATGGAGGTGTTATCTGACGAAGATCAAGGTCCGCCCTTACCCGCCCGAAGATATAAAACAGAAAGGTAAGTTGGTCACTTTGTTTTATTTGTATGCCCTACGAGGTAACATAACTTTTGAATTTGCTATCTCTCAGACGCCAAGTGGTAGCACAAATGGTTATAGTGTTGAAATCTTTACACACTGTCATTTGCTTGGTTACGTCATATAAATGGTGGTTGTTGTGGGTTCAAATTTCGGTCAGTGTGTTAAAGGGGAACAATTGGCATTTTCAGGGATGTGCTTTAATGTGCTTTAATAGTCTTAAGAAGTACTAAAACGCACGAAAACCGCATAATCCCTTCAAATATACCTATTATAGTTGACCATGCTATAAGTGGGTACTGATAATAATTTTAATTCTCTGTTGTTGTTTATTTCAGTACATCCAATCTGACAAAAAACAACAGTTCTTCACGGCCCTCCTTACTCAATAAGATGGGATTGATCAAAAACTCAACCAAGACCAAAATTAAATCTTTCCGTAAAGCTGTGAGTTTGGAGAGAGGATTGGATGATGTTGGAAGCATAAATACTCCGTCAAAAACAGAAAAACTGGAAAAGTCAAAAACTAAGATGAGAAAAGCCCCCTCTCTGAAGTCTTTAACGGCCTTATTTGGGAAAAAGTCGAAGTCTAAGAAAGAAAAAACTGACAGTGTTTTGAGCGTGTTTGATGATAGCCCTGACAAGTATGTTATCTTTGTATTTAATAATAAAGTATATATTACAATACCCTTTTTGTAACCTAGTTTCTCCCTGTCAGTGTTGCAGGTCTGGGACAATAATTCAAAATTTGAAAGAATGGGCTAAAGCTGCTTTCTTATCAAATTTCCCTCATTACACACTGCATGGCATTGTCTGTATAAGCTCAATATGGTGCAAAAAAAGTAGGACATAAGAATTGATTGAAAATAGTCAGACTTTCAAAATTTGTGCACCATCAATTTTAACTCTTCTTTTAGACTCTTCTTTTAGACTATTATGTAAATCCATAGTTCAGTACCTATATTGGTTTTTAAACACACTTTTCTATTCTAGGCTACCAGTCAAAAACTCAACTCTTTCTTTATCTAAGAAGAAATTATGGAGCTCAGCTAAAAACTTGGAAATAAACAGCGTGGAGCCTCCAAAAATGTTACGTTCCATCGGAAAGTTGTTGGAGATTTGTTCAGACGGCAGTAAGGTTGTGGAATTACGGAAACCCCCTGACGGACCCATAGGGTTTTATATTGGTAGGGGCACAGCTAATTATGATTACGGTAAGTCTATGGGAGTGAGGGGGGGGGGAGCGGTAATGTGTTTCGAAATAACGTTAAGGAACTTCCACTCATATGCCAAACTGTTGTGGCATTGATCTTTCCTGTATTATCCTTTATCATGGGTAGACTGGTATAATGAGGATGACCTATTCAAGGTCACTAGACTTTTAAACGCTGATCAAGATTAGATGCTATGACTACCATTTGCTTGACGTAACCAACTGACTGTGCTATAGCCCTTAATCAGTCTTTGATTCTAATATAATTCATTTCAGGTATATTTATATCAAGATTTTCCGATGAAAGTTTGGAGAAGTTATTTTCCGGGTTGATGTCTGTGGGAGACGAGGTGATTGAAATAAATCAACGACCAATCAGAGACCTGTCCCTCGACGATGTTTACGGATTAATGGCCGACAAGAGTAAACTAGTGCTACGAATCTTTCCCATCGCCTCTCGACGCGACTTATAGCCAAGGGAGGTAATCTTTCAGATGCGACTTATAGCCAAGGGAGGTAATCTTTCAGATGCGACTTATAGCCAAGGGAGGTAATCTTTCCCATAGCTTTCAGACGTGACTTTTGTAATTATAGCCAAGAGAGGTAACTTAACTGTGATGCAAATAGATAAGTTTATCAAAGGGCTGTAACTCATGATTTCCCTCATATCTCTATTTAAAAATCAAATAAAAATGTGTTCGTTAAAATTGATTGCCAATCGCTTGTAATAGTTAGACATTTTGAAGATAAAAACAATCATGAATATATTCTTTGCCAAAAAAATCAAAGTGTCACATTCCATTTTGAAATCCTGCAATCAAACAAAGTGCATTTATTTCAATTTATTTATTTATTTACAAATCTTATTTATTGTACATTTATTTTGTTCATATGTATATTTATTATCTAATCTAAGATGAAGCTCCATATTTTGGAACTGTCAAAGACTTTCATGCACATTCACAGATGATTCCAAACATAGGGAATTTTTCCACAAAAAAATTATTGTTCTTCTAGGACAATAGACCTTATTCACGCGTAGGCCATGTTGAATCCAGAATGAGGCTTCTGACGGGTAACAAAGGTAATGTAAAATCGCCACATTGATGTCTTTAAAACCTCTTTCTCCTATCCCATTTTTTAATGAAATATGCCATTATATTAAATAAATTAATTTGCACAAAAACAAACTATACAGTTGAGAGTTGTCTTGATCACCAACATGTTTCAGGTTCTGTTTTACTATTTCTGATATGCATAATATATTAATTATTTTTAAAACACAAAATATTTTGTATAAAATTGTGATAAAGTAAAATTTTAAACTTATTTCATGAGCATAATCAAATTTATAAAAAGATTTCTATATTGTATGAGTTTTCTTTTTCATTTTGAATATTTTCTTAATGCCCTTTGGAATATTTGGGGTATAACTAGATATTTTTCTGTGCTAATCCAAACTTTTTCAACAACCTGTGAAATTTTAACTCAAATTCCTCAGGAGAGGATCTTTTATATTTGACCTGGTCACGTATTCTCGAATCGATCTTAGCGCCAGGATGTCCCAGGTTCTTATCTTCTTACATTGATTCTAGGATATCCTAGGTTCTTATCTTCTAACATTGATTCTAGGACATCCTAGGTTCTTATCTTCTAACATTGATTCTAGAACATCCTAGGTTCTTATCTTCTGACATTGATTCTAGGATATCCTAGGTTCTTATCTTCTAACATTGTTTCTAGGATATCCTAGGTTCTTATCTTCTAACATTGATTCTAGAACATCCTAGGTTCTTATCTTCTAACATTGTTTCTAGGATATCCTAGCGCTAAGATCGTTTCCAGAATACGTGACCAGATTCTCAAAATCCCCCAAAAATCTCAATTAGGATGTACCGTGTCAATTGACCATCTAACTTGCAGTTATAAACAATGATTACATCAAATCAAATATAATTGCACAAGGGAAAGTAAATACTGCCCTGGGTAACAAAATTTAGTTCCTATAAGTGATACAGAGGGCTGAAATATCAGCTGATAAAATATATAGACGACTGTCCTGTCCTGCGTTCTAGCACTATTGTAATTCTGTATCTAAAATTAGGAGTAAGTTAAAACAGCATAGCAAGCCAGGCACATATTAACATCATTCCACCGTAGGGGGTGATCCAGCGTACCCTGGGGTTCCCTGTCAGGGCGTGATAGTAACAACTTCCTGAAAATATGACCATTCCTGTAGACATTAAGGCACCAACCTGAAAAAATTAAATTCATTTAGAAGTCCTTGGGGTCCTTGGAAAATTCTAGGTAGTGCTTACTTGGTGAATTCTGCATGTTCAGGACTCATGTAATCAACCATAAGTACAATATAACATTTGGATGTGTTCAATCAGTGCCGGAAAAAATTTCTGAAGCCAGATTTGGATCAGGCCCTTTGATGTTCGACCCACAATGGGGCTGAGACCTTTCAACCCCAAATTACCCAGAAAATACAAACCATCTTGAGCTTCAAAACTGATACCTACCAAATATGGTTTCCTCATTAAAGGCATAGATAATAAAGCTACAGAATGAACCAAATGCAGCTTATAACCTGTATCATATGTCTGTAACAAAAAAAAAAATTCAAGACAATTTTAGATTATATAAGCTCCATTAGACTTATATTTTTTAGAGTCAAAATTAGCCTACACGGCTCAAATGAAACACTTAATTCTAACCCAAAATAAATTGAAAATTGAAATGACTTCAGCTCCATTAGACTTTAAGAGTCGAAATGACAATAGCAATTACAAATTCTGATCCAAAATTAGAATAAAGAGAAAAATCAAGGCCTTGAATTAGTCTGATACTCACAACTTTTAATTTAGCTGACTGTTCTGTTTCTCTGAAAGCTACAATTTAATTTTTTTTAAATTAATCAAAATTTCAAGTATGGAGGGTGGAGAAACCATGTGACCTTTGAACTCTAAATTGACCTCATGTCAGCCACGTGACCCAGAAAAACATGCACGTGCATTCTGTGATCATTCAGAAATAAGATAAGACAGTGTAAGGACTGCTGTTATATCGTCTGCTTGCTGATCAAAATGATGAAAACTGAATGCAAGAAACTTCGAAGGAGGTTGAACCCTACATAAGGTTAGAATTTTAAATTTACCATGTGCGCCATAGGCCCCCATTGCAATCGCTGTGGCTCCTGACAATCCAGCAAATCGAATAAACCCTCGAGCCGGTACCGCCATAGCGACCCCCTTGATGATTACTCTCTCGGCTTCCTTAGCTTGTCCCAATGCAGCCCCAATCGTCCAATTTATCAGTCGGTTCACGTCGTTAATCAAATTGCCCATGTCAGTACAAAACGTTTCCTAAAATGCTGTAGTTCAAGTCAGAAATTGTAGAAATCTTGTGCGAGTTTCTTTACAATTTTCGACTTCCGGTTTGACCATGGACGACTTTCTTCGCCTCACAGCTTAGAGAGTTATTCACGGGAATTAAGTATGTTAGAATCCGGACAACAAACATTTTATTTAGCATCTGTCTAAGCTTATGGGAGACACACAAGTCTGTATGTCTTGAATTGATAAAGGATACAGTAATCTGAAATACTAGAATATTAGCCTACACCTGTAACAAATATCTAACAGGGAAGTGTCTTAATCTCGCTACATGGGAGGCAACTCCGTATGTCTTTAGAAAAATAAGACTACAGTTAATATTTATTATTATACCATTGTTAAAGGAGGTTTTCTCGTTCAGCCTACGATTTTTAAGCAGTAATTTTTGAGTCGGGAACTCGAGTGTTTCGGTTGTCAAGTGTCCATTCATACAAGATGGGAGAAAACTCGTCACACTTCATTCGGACTGAAAATTCGCCTGTGTAAAATCAAATTTCCAAATGATAATTTTGTTATTGGTGGTCATTTTCTAGGACTCTCAGTAGTGACGAAATGAGACTGACCCCTCTTCTGTCCTCAGTTTCAGATTTATCAACGATCTCTTGAATGCCCTGTACTGCCCCCCGGCAACGCCCCTTTTATGCAATTCAAAATATGGTCTACGTGTTTTCGACATCTGCTGAATGCATCGACATCGACTTATGCCATGATACATCAAAGGGGGGTTTTAGGGCAAAGTATTCTGCGCCCCTCCCCTCGGTAAAATCTTGGCTCTCATTACACGTCCGTTACCTAACACAAGCCACAGAAAAATAAAACACAACACCTCCTACCCCCCTCCCATAACCTAATTGATAAAGTCTAAAGTGATAGAGAAAGAATGAGTTAAACAGATTGAAAGAAATTTTACTAAGTGAATAAAGGTGTTAGTCGTTTTCTCACATTTAGAAGATTTTCTCGCGTTAATTCAAATGTTATAACGTTTCTGATTGTGTCATCAGCGCCACCAAGCAGGCTTTTCACGCCGGTACGTGTTAACCTTCCTTTCCTTAATTCATTTAATATGCCTAATCAAGTCTTAATTGTATTTCATTCTTTTAAAGTCTCTAAAAGCTCGGAATAATGAGAAAATTAAACGTAAGCTAAATGAATTATATTTGATAATAAGAAGCCACTCTTACACAATCGAATCAGTCCCAAGGGACATAACTCGAATACAGAATAATTACTTTCTTATTTCTCTTTTATTGGCGCGAAATTACAGAAATATTTCTCAGAGAAAAAATATTCATTTAGTTTTAACTGTCGATTAGCAGAATGGATCTTATTTTGCTGCATGTTTTTTTTTCTTTTTGAGTATTATAGCTCTGTAAACCTCTGTCTCTGATAACAACAGTCCGTCGCGAAAATTCCGCGAGCGCTCTGTAGTTTTACGAACCCGAGTCGGAATTAGTTTCTTGTCTTTTTCTTTTTGAACATTGTGGCTTTGTAGACCACTGTCTCTGGCGCAGAAATCGTCCGCGGGCGCTCTCTAGTTGTTCTTTTTCATCATTGTGGCTCTGTAGACTGTTCGATGGCATTCGGACTTGCAGAGAGCAAGCGGAGCCTTCACGATAGAAAGTTTGCCTTGAAAGTTAAGCTTAGCGTTTTATAAGCGCACAGTAATGTAATGTCTGGTGTTCAGACAAGAGGAGGTATGTTAGCCTTGACCGTAAACCAGCCTCGCCTCGATTCGCATAGCTAACGGCTTATTGAAACCTCTATTGCGCCTTAATTAAAGTCAATGTAAAAGTCGCCATTATTGAACTGTAAGAGCGGGAAGTTAATAATTCTGATTAAAAACTTGACATTGATCACGTGATAAAGTAGGAAATAATCCGTCCGCACTTCTGGCCAAATTACATCTTCATCACCCCTTTATTAGCGGAGTGATTTATTACAAGGGTGGGCAAACAGTAATCACTTGAACAAATTTCGGTGCGACTCAAATTAACTAAACAAATGATAATAACCGGACGAGTTATCTCCTTATACTCAATAGGGGGCGCTCGAATCAAAGATTCCTAATGATCATTAAATGGTCATAATTAGAAGACAAAGCACGAGGCTTGCACGCGACATGTTTTTACAAATTGATACAATGTTCTCAATATTTCCATCTTTTCATTACACCAGATGGCGCGTGCATTTCATGTCATTTCATGTCCACACGCAAATATGACACGAATCCATGATGAGTTTTTAGAATTTCTTGACCTTGAACAACGCTAATAAAAAAATCTAATAAATATATGACTAAAAAATTACCCTTGAGAGTTTTTGAAACTAACAGTTAATTATTTACTACAATCGTCACTATAACTTTACATAATTTTGACCTATAGTAATATTAGTTGTATATATTATCACTAAAAAAGTGAGCGTTTGACGCTGAAAATACATTATGAAAAATGATTTACTACTAACGTCACTATAACGTTTTGTAGTTTAAGTGATATCAATAATTAACTTACATTATCACTACAATGATGCATGTCTACATAATTTTTAAATGATAAACATTATAACTTATGTAATGTTCAGAATTTGTGAAAATATTTGTAAAGAATGTGAGAATACTAAATGATTTATTACTAACATCACTATAAGGTTACGTAATTTATTTTACGAATATTCAAAATAAAATTTTGTTAACTGTATTAAAAGTATACAAAGAAAAGAATATTGTCGAATTCTACTTTAAATATTTTTTGATTTTCACTTAGTTTTTGTGTTCCATTTCATATTCATTCCCTTTAACTTTCATTGAAATTCATGCTGAAAATTTATTATTATATCTAAATATTTTGTTGTGTTTATATGAAGCCTACGATGCTCTTTTTATAAGCCCGCCCAGATATTATTCTATATCGTAGCGTATCGAATGTACGGTTTGAAGTTTTGTCTCCCATCAAGTCGATAAATTCCAATTGTTCCTGATGAGCGATTCCAATAATAGACCGTATCATAATATTATGATATCAACATGGTTCTGCCTCGTGCCGAGCTCGCGACTTACAATCACTGATATAATTCGTGTAAATCATCTCTCGAGACTGGCGCGTGACAAATAGCCTCATTCTCACATCAGCACTGCCCTATACCATGACGTCACTTGTCATCATCCAATGAAATTGTTGATGTGATCGTCTCGCTGTTATTTGAATTGCCAATTACCACCATTTTGGGAAGTTGTAATTGAATTTATTAATTGGAATCATTCAAAGACTTTCAGCCCAATCTCTTTATTAACTGGCCTGCCAGTAATCTCTATCATTCCTGCAATTCCGTTTATTGGCACCGAGTCTTGAAATCGGATCATAATATCTTGGCACTTCCAGGAATTATTCTACAGAATATATTCTACGTCTGTTTTTGTTTATAATAATAATTCCAATATATTGCCTGTGTTTTGTATTGAAGCTGAAAAGTAGGACGTAAAACTCCATTCATTTCTGTTTTTTATATAAACCACAAAGTTAGAATTTGACCGAGAATAATATTGTGAATTTTGGTGGAATTTTAATTTAAAGAATAATTTTTGAAAAGGATAAATTTGGAATTATAAAAGTTATGAAAATTATTATAGAAAATATAAATTTCTAAAATGAAATTAAAAATTTTGAAACAATCTTAGCTCCGAGAATTTTTGAAATAATTTTACTGCCGAGAATTTCTAAAGATTAAAAAAAATCTCTGCGAAGAATGGAAGGATTAGCTCAATTTGTATCCAAATCGTTCGAAGATTGTAAAGAGGAGGTTTCATATGTGAAAAAAGGACTTTCACCGATTGCCAAAGACGTTGAATTGGACGTTCGGTCAACTCCGACTAAAGTAACAGACAGTAAATTGCCTCTGCAAATTTCTACCCCGAACGTTACAGACGACGAACTTGATGACGTCATTGATGATGATGAAAACGTGTCCCTGTCGTCACCCAAATTAGGTAAGAAAATTATTTTTTTTATTTAATAAATATTAATTCTTCGTTCTAAATTTTGGCTTTAATTTCACAAAAATAATTGTTCATGTTGAATTTAAAGTATAAGATATGAACATGGTAATATTAAATTTATTTCAAAAATAAAAAAAACCACATTTGTTGGATAGTCTAGAAATTTCAATACAAAACGTGTTTATTGTTTGTATTCTGTGAAAAACAGAAAGATAGGCAAACAATAAACGAAAAAAATCCTTGGTCCATTTATTCTGAGATATATTAAGGGTTTTTGTCGTAAAAGGACCTTTTTACCTAACCCAAGACACTGTAAAACCAAACGGTATTCACATGAATTCAGTATTTGTCAAAGTTCTGAAGAATAAGTAATAAAACAGATGAAAATTATTGTCAAATATGGCTAAAAATTTAGAATCTAAGAGATTTTTATTCTCATCAAATATTTTTTAATTGAGAAAAATTAACCTCATGATCCCGAAACCTACGAATACGGTTTAAATTGCATCTTATGGACTTCGGTTACCTGTATAAAATATATTACAAAATACTCAGTTGTAATCATTTTAATTCAGATAATACTTTTAGTTCAAATAATATTTGGGTTGTTTTGACAATTCCTGAAATCTATGGAAGCAATTCATTTTTTATCAATTGATTTATTCTCATAGTCTCTACTAGCGACCTTGGTCAGTGCTTCTATAGGAGACTATCTAATAAAACACCTAATTCCAGGAACTGTCGTAGAGTCTCAGAAACCTGATTTTCAAAGGATTTAGCAGTTGTAAAGAGACCTTTCATTACAATCATTGGCTTATTAACTCTCAATCTTTCACTTGAATCAAATAATGATAAAATTATAGACTAGATTAGCTTTAACTGGCCTCAAATTATAGGTTTTATGGTCGTCATCGTTAATGGGGGGGAATGACGTTAACTGTAACAGCACAATTAAGTCTGAGGAACAGACAGTGGTTTGTAATTTGCTGTGCCGTGTTCTAATTCTACCCCCTAATTTTTGAGTTAATAAAGACGTGGGGTAGGGTATAATTTGAGAAGGGTTAAGGGGGGTTATTTCTGAAAGATAATTATTTAATGGTTTCCTAATTAGATAATTCCATTCCCTCATTTCCAGTTCTTGTCACTTAGGTAACTCAGTCACTTGGAATCGTTCTGACTTTTTCCTGGAACTTCCTGAGTGTTCTTTGACACTCTTTGATTAAGTCTCTGACTAGAAGACTTTGAACATTATTATATTTTAATACGTGTTGAAATCTAAATACTAACTAAATTAACTCCATCCTATTTTTTTTTATCTCTATTTGGGACCTTGGCCAGTGCTTAAAATATGAGTGTGGATAAACCTTTTCACACCTAAAACTAACTGGAAGATGTTTTCTAGCAGGAACGTTGGGGACGAATATTTCCTCGGACTTTCGTGGTTCATGGAATTCCAATCAGATATTCCCGGATATGACGTAAATGGAAATGACACCAGAAGTTATTCTCAATACCCATATTCTTAGAAAAATGAAAATGAAATTTTGATTCATTTTGTAATACAATATTTATTATAGCCTATGTTGTAACCTGTTCAAGTGAGATACTGTGCCGATTTTAAATTGTTATTTTAATCATTTATTTATTTTATCATAGTTGAAAAGCAGAGTTTAGGCTAAAAGTTATGATGAATACCGTCGACTTATGCCTTCATATTTCTTTTCAGAAGATCGAGATGGTCGAGAAGATGATGATCATCCTAAAACCAAGCAAAGACGAAGTCGAACAAATTTCACACTGGAGCAGCTGAATGAACTAGAGCGATTGTTTGACGAGACGCACTACCCCGATGCCTTCATGAGAGAGGAGCTGTCCCAGAGGCTGGGGCTGTCAGAGGCTAGGGTACAGGTACGTTTAGTTTATTGTTGGTAGCAACGAGGGGTGGAGAAAGGCCGAATGGTGGGGTTGTCAGAGAAAAGATTTTCCAAGATGCACTAACCCGAGGCCTTCATGAGAGAGAAAATATCCCAGAGGCTAGGCCTATCAGAGATGGTAAGGGTAGAATAGGGTTTCCGGGGCAGCAAATTTTAAAAAGGGGGAGGGGTACTTGGTTTACATGCTAAAAGCGTCTGGTCTATATCTATCTGGTCTATATATCCTATCCCCATTAGCAATATAAATTGCCAGAACATAGGACACACAATTTTTCATTAGAAAGATATGTTGATGTAAAACTCCCTTCCATTCCAAACTTCTCGCTCTATGATACTGATAGATACTGTAATTTTTCAAGTCCCTCGAGAGCGACTACCAATAATAATGAAATTAAATAATGCTCATAGATAACGAATATCCTTAATTGATGGAAATAATACTTGATCACCATTCATTTTCATTTGTCACATTTACTCGTGTCTCAAATCCCTGGGAATTACCGCCCTTGTCATTTCAACGCCAAAACCTAAATTACTGTATGTTTTCGTTTGTCGTTATTCCTACTCGAGTAGAAATTTGACATTTCTGTCAGAAGTAGGCTCAATCGCCCTGACATTAAGGAAGTTGTAACGTCAAATAACGTCTGGATGATCGACAAACCGGAAGGTGTTAATCAAATCAAAATTGCGGAATGTTAAATGTAACGTAAACGAAATGATCACCAATTATGATTAACTTCATGGAGATCTTCCCTTTACTGATATTTCCGTGAATGAATGCACTCAAATAAACCATGATATCAAGATACTGTACACAAGGATGAGTGGGCATTTCTTGAACACTTGAAGTTATTCTGCGCCTTTGTTTGTCAACTCGCCATTCCTTTATAAATCCACTATAGTTGTTTGTTTGTTTAGGTTAGCCTAATTCATTGGGTATCTGCTGGAATTTTATCTAATTTACCAATATCAGACCTACTTTTCAATACCATTCCTTTTACGAGTCCTCAAAGCTAAAATTTTTTTAATTACCGGAAGTAGGCCTAATGCCAGTTCAAACTGATATGGTTTAGAAAATTTCCCGTTAAAGTGATTGTAAAGAGGTATTATAAACGTTATATGTATCAGTGTCCCATGATAGGCCCCTAGCCTACACATTAAAAATTTCGATAACCGTTTTACAATCCCTTTAATTGTGGCTTAGGTCTGAAAACTGTGCTAATAGCCTTGGATTTTTTTTTACGCGAAAGCACCCCTTTAAGACATCAATTCTAAATTCAAATGGAAAAGTGTCGTATCATTTACTTTATGGTTATTTAACGTAATAGAGAAAATAGCCTATTCACGATAATTCATATTTAATATAATATTCGCCTTGTCAACTGTCGTCATATCAACCGTTACTACGCCGCCATGACACCGTTACTACGCCGCCATGACACCTGTTTGATGGAATTAACACGATTGTTATGACAGTTTTTACTCTATTGAAATTACCCGACGAAAAAATATTCCAGCACATTAAAGTTAGGGTAATCTGCTTACAACTTGTATGAATTTTAGATTAGTTTCGTGTCGTTTTATTCTGACGGCTCCGTACAATCATTTTCACAATCAAATTTTATGAAATAGGCCTAATAGAAATAAATGGTTTTTTTATCGAGACGATGTCATATTTAGATGGAAATTATTCTTTAAAATAAAACTTGAGTGCTGTGAAGACCACTTTAAGTTGCTTTCGAAGAACTACTGTGCTAGTGAACTATGCCTAAATGCACGTGCACATTTTAGAAAAAAAAAATAGATCATGGTGTAGCCTAAGAAACCCTAAAAGAAAACCACAACGTCAAAGGATACAAAATATATTCATTGAATTTTTGTATGGACGATTAATCAAATGAAATCAAAGTTCTGTGAAAGAACTTTGACCTATTCTGCGACATATTCGATTGTAAATTTAGCTGAAGAAAACGGTCTTTATGCCTAGCACAATCTGGTAGCTATAGTTTGGGATAATAGTTTGACTACAAATAACTGAAAATCTGCTCGGTTCGATGCATTCTCATGTGCTTAATCCCATATTGAAAACTGTCATGTAACAAACATATCTTATAGTTCTTGAACACTATATTCCATGCGATTCGAATGTAACACCACGCACTTGGTTATTTCATAATAAAACGATAATGTGTAATGGAAATGTAAAAATACCGGAGAATATAATATTATTTTATTGTAATAGGCTAATAGACATTATGATTAATTTCACAAGTTTTTTTTTATACCATATTAATGAATAAAAATAAGAAATTTTATATGGTATGGCAGGCTATGAATAGCTAAATCTAAAATGTTTTGATATTTCCATAACTACATAGAAACTTTTTAAACGACAGTGTCGTTTGAAATTAAATGAAATGACGTTTTACGTTATTTTCCTAGTTTGTATATTTGGACATATCGAGTTTTACATCGAAAACGTTTGCACAATTTAATGCTGTATGCTTAGTATTCGGAATGGTTTTATACACAAAGTTTCAACAATTTACATTTAAATAATTCAATTTAAACATAGATCAACATTATCATCTAATGACAAGTAAATCGTCGAAACTTTAAATACAAAACAGCAATCACTTATATGCGGGTCTGTAGACTATAATAGTTCAACAAATGAAGTGGAGCCTATGAATACATCAGACCTTTTCTTAAATGACAGCATGCCTATCTACGGCAGTCAGTGTCTGACAATATTATCAAGCACAGCGAGAATGGCCTATTTAGGCTATTTATGATTGGAATGACAGTGTAAATTGAAGAAACGGTGTAGGCCTACAATAAAATAAAAAATACATTAGATATTTCTGAAGTATGGCTCTGAAAACTATCTGACGCTAAATAAGTCCCAAATTCCCAGCATTAGTTAGCTTAAATCCAATTACAGAACAAGAAACTCGAATCATTTCCCGAAATTGAATTATACTGATAAAGCGAAAGTAGCTGAATAAATTGATGTCAAGTCTCAATTAACCAGTCTCTTAACTATAGTGAGAATATAATTGAGGCTTGATGACCGAGATTAATTGATGTCATCAAACCAATGGTTAGTGATGATCCCATCTTCTCGAGTTCAAGAGAAAATTTATTTTGAAATCCCACAAGTTTTGTGCTGTTATAATTTTCAAATAAAGTGTTATACGACAGAGGTACAAAATGGAAAATTTATTAATTTTTCATTCGATATTTCGACAAATTGGATCACAGAAAAAGAAAATTGGAAAATTATTAATTTTCGTTTATTAAACGGAAAATAAATCGTTCTGAGACCACGTGACGATTGACTTCATAATGTTATTTCGTTTCTTAATACAATTAATTTAAAGACTGAAATTAAACGGAGCCCTATGTGATTTGAAATGGTTAATAACTTTGAACTGTGGTCATTATGAGTAGGCTACTGATACTACTGTTCCTGCACTGTCCTCTCACGCAAACCAACGTCAGGTCAACAAAGTTTTTCTCTTTAGGGAATATTCAGGCATGGTTTTCAACGTTTGCCTTGTGTGAGTTTTCGAGCTGTTCTGACAAGTTCCCTCAATTGTGTGAATCATAGCAATAAGACCTTAAACCCAATTGCACTAGCCCATCCAGGTGTTAAAAACTAGGCAAAACTCACTACCTTAGTATGTCAACGCACCTGCAAGCTTATCAATTTCAACAAGAATGCAAAACGCAAATCTGTGAGATCATTAAAAATAAAGCAAGCATATGATTTGATTTCATCTTAAATGTTATAGTCAGAACTGTGGCAGAATTCCTGACGATCGAGACTAACCATTAGCAGACGTTTTGTCACGTGCGGTATTTGAACGTTAATTGCTCATGAAACGTTACAATATTGAAAAGTAAAAACGCCAATTTAACTAATTGCGGGACTAAATCTAATACATGAAGTTCAAAAGTCTCAAATTCTTATAATCCAACGGATAAAATTATATTGGAGGTAAAACGCACACGAAAACGTCAGACGATACGGCCATTTTGATCTGCCATTGTTTCGTCACGTTAGGGCATGGTAACCGTTGATACGAGGTCACGTGAAGATCAAACGTCCCACTTTAGATCAAATCCTCGACGTTCATTGGTTAAATTTCTAATAATCAAATAGACACATTTCTTCTTTTGACTAATTCGGAAACTCGGCTTAACTCACGTATTTTAGGGAATCTTTTAACTGGAGAAATTGCGGTTGATGAAACGAAATAAAAGAAAATCTGATGAATTTATGATTTTTAATTCGTTTTCTTTGATAAGTAGGATTATAAATATTAGGAAACTTCATGATTTTTCGACTAAATATTTCCTGATTTGGCTGGAATTACCGACTCATCAATAAACGCTGATTATCCTAATGGCTTAATTTTGGAACGAAAAAATACTCTTAGGATATTTTAGGCGATTAGATATATTTCTTCGTGTTGTTTTGTGTAATAATTGCGATTAATTTTTATCTGAAAATATTAATTCTAGTTACACTGGTATATACAAGATTACAAACTTAGTACGGGTGTGATTAGAGTAACGTGCAATATGCGCGTGCATTTATATTTTCGGTAATAAGTGACATGGCTTGAAATTTCACCTTCGATAAAAACCTTTTATTGTTTGTATTGTAGGCCTATTGTTCAAATTTATACGCAACTTTCAATATCAATTCTGATTTTGGAAATCATCTTTAGTTGGATAACATGGTTTTTTAAGCTTACTAAAATGAAATGACAAAATTGAATTAAATATTGGTCCTTTTCGCTTATTTGTTGTAAAAAAGAAATTGGCAAACCGAATCATATCAATCATAATCATATCAATTTAATATTTTATTTGTAGAATTATTAAGTATCTTTGTCGAATTTTAAAGATGTCTATTGAACATTATATTCACAAATTTAATGAAAATTCCTATTAAAATTATTATCTTTGTCGAAGTTTTAACGTATTCTGTTTCCTCTTTCACTTACAAATTTGATCAAAGTTTCCTTTTCAAATTATGATAAAGCCTTTTTAATGCTAAAATAGAAATTAACGGTTTGAAAAGCAAGCGAGCAACAGTGAATAATAATTGTTAATTTTCCTAATTTGAGATAATTTGAGATAATTTGGGCGACAAAAAGTCATAGACCATATCTAAGAAAATATTTGGCAAATTTCTGATTCGAGTTTTGATTTGATTATTGTAAATTGGATGGAATTTGGTCTTTTATGATTGTGTTTGTTAATCGTGCCAAATTTCGGTGAATAGTCATCAATTAAAACACAACTTCAACATTGAATCAACCTCTTTTAATAAAACTGGAAACCTTTTCGTCACTTCCGTTAATTTTATTAGTCTAAATTGTATGCAAACATTTATAAATTAGAATATCTCTCGGCTCCAGGATTAGAAAATTTTATCTAATATTTTATAATTATATTAGCGTAAACTCTATCCAAATAATTTAACCAAAATCTTAATTCGAGTTCTACTCGTCCCGAGGCGAAATTTTGGCGCGAATATCACTTCGGAGCAGACGAGACTTAGCGCGTGCTTGTATTCTATAAGACTGAATAGGTGTTGAAAATTTGCTTCCAAATGGCGTAATTTGATCAGTAAAATGAAGAGGTGAGAGTCGAAGGGATTAGACAAACATATAAATTGTAAAAATCAACAAAGCGAGATTAAATTATCGTCGACAATTTGATGAAGGAAAACTTTTTAATAAAATTAACACCAAAATATTGTTTGGATTTCAACATGGCGTCTCATTCCCGCCTTTTTAAATTTCTCTTTTGTATTTTTTTGCAGGTCTGGTTTCAAAATAGGCGGGCGAAATGTCGGAAACATGAAAGTCAAATGCAGAAGGGTGAGTAATTATAGACCGTTTGAATGTTTTCAAGAAAATTTGTCTTGAATTGGGGTCAATGCACGTGCATTCTTCTTTGTGGACAAAATATTACAACACTGTCCGTCCTTTGAAGCATGCGTCCTAAAATAATCGGTTGAATTCGTTGCACGTGCAATCAGATTGAGTTAAAACTAACCAAAATATTTTATATTGCAGTCGTTTGAAAGAAATGTAGCTAAAATATTATTTATATTCGCATTCAATTAATTGAAACAATGTCAAATGTAAAAATGCACGCACTTTATGACTAAAACATCTCATTTTATATAATAAATTCTTTCGAAAATTATAAGAATCTTAAATTTAATTATCTCTATATGCTTGACCTTGTATAAGGTTTTATAACAGAAACTCTCTTATAGAAGCACTGGCCCAGGTCACAAATAGGGACTGTGAATCCCCCCCCCCCCCCCCCCCCCTCTCTGAAACAACCGACTATCTGTTCAATTACTTTAGATTTATTTAGATTGACATAGATCAGGATGTCTTTTCACTCGGCGGAGGTTTAATTAGTGATACAATACGAGTAGGAATCTATTATAAAGGTAGTGCAGTGATTGACAAGGGCGACAACTCTGTAGCTGTTGAGTAGCCGATCATTTGAAAGGCTGATTAAATTAATTAGGGGACTATTATTCCCGCCATATTGTGGCAGTTAAAGGCTAATTTGGAACCGATTCCAATTTTCTGGTCATTGAATGAGAAGTAATCCAAATTAGAAGCTTGCTATTTAAATAAAGTTAAGGCTCTGGAGGATGTTACTCCTATACTTCCCTCGTTGTACACTGCAGACACTAATATTAAAAGCTTTATGGAATTGTCAAGAGGTTTTTTAACTGTTTAGAAGTACTCTGAATTCGAGACAGTCGGTTTGAATCTTAGATGGCTTAATCCGATTGGTAACGTCGTATGCATATAGTGGTCGTGGGTTCTGAATTTGGTCGGTGGGTAAAGTTGTCATTCTTGTCAAAAAAAAAAAAACTATGCTATTTAAATAAAGGCTAGATGTGCCATTAGGTGAATTTTTGTTTTGCTTCTTTGAATAAGGTCAGATCCGAATTGACATGGACCTAAAATTGATTGTAAAGATATTTTCTAAACTGTGTATGTTTAGGTGGAACACTGATGGCATCAGTTTTAGTTGAATTACAGGAACCACAGACTTCTGACTGAAAATTAGAATGGTACAAATTGATGCTTCGATACACATACAATATTTAGAAAACCTTTTTACAATCCCTTTAAGGATTGCTATTAATTTTCCTAAATTCAAATCGTAAAATTAATAGGGGTATTCGTCTCACCCCAATTCACTCAAAATAACAGAAAACGAAGCAAATTGAATTAGAACTATTTTGATATCTTGTTATCGTGTGAATTCGTGAAATTTTCTACTGTCTGAGCTCTTAGAATTGCAGGAATTAATTTTGATGGAATCTTTTCATGTTTTTCCATGAAAATTATTGATATTCTACAATCCTATCAAATAAATTGGATTATTTTAAACGATATTATTTAATTCTGTTTTCTCAATTTGTCAAACTTTTAGAATTCAGACCGAAAATCTCCATTTTATTGTGTTTTTAAAGAATTTTAATACAATATAGGCTTAGTTGTTATTTATTTCATTATTTGGATCCAATTCAAAATTTATTTCCGATTAAAACTGAATAGGTTATTATATTTTTGATGCTTTGGTTCACCATAATTGATAAATAGGATAAAATAGATATCATTTTTCGGAATAAAGATTGAAAATTGCAAATATCAGGCCAAGTCGGATGAAAGTTTGTTCGAATCTGAAATATTGTTTTTGTCGTGCTTGAAATTTTATTTTTTGAACGTCGAGTCGGTTTTATGTAACGCCCTTTCTGTTTCGATGGATATACCGCTCTTGCTTAGTCAGTCACTCGGCTTCTCATATACTCAAAATGACTAATTCGAGAGAACTGAATTATATATCGAAGTGAATCACTTCTTGAATAAAAACAAACTGACAACCGTCCTTCGTGGCACCAACCCTTTAATATGTGGACAAATAATAGAGCTCTTTAGATATTCTAAACGGCTTCCAGCCTTTGATGATATTACAGTACTATAGTAAATATACGGTACCCCCTTTCATAATACAGATTCTATTCCATACCATATGTGTCACCAACCCTTTAGTATTAAAACCTACTCGATAAGTGGTATCCACCCTTTAATAATGTCTACTCATTTAGCCACTTGGCTTCTCTTAATGATTAAATTAAGTCTAAGAACATGAATTTGGATAAAGAAAATAATTTGATACAGGGCGATGAATTGGCGAAGAAATTTGGCCAGTGAAATAAATGAAATGATTGATCTAAGCTATAGTCCAACCGTGTTTGCTTTCCTAAATCAAATTTCAGAGAGCAAATACCGTGAAAGTCATAAATAATCCGTTTTGAACAGAATCGGGGTGCTAGCTAATCGAGACGAAACTCTCCAATTTGCAAATCATAATTGTAAACTTGACACAAGTTGGCCCGAAATGCTTTTTATTACCCTGCCGACTAATTTGTAGGGGAACCTCGATCAATTGTGTCCGTGTGGGTTTATTTGACTAGTTCGGAACCACTTAGTTTCTTGTTATACATCGAATAAAGCAATTACTCCGTTTTAGTGGCCCGTCATCAGAAATTAAACCATCCAATTAAGACTGGTAATAAAAGGCTGTTTATTTTTGTCTCGTCTATCCAGTCGCACAATGTGACGTAAAATGATTAACGACCGTCATAAATATTGAATTTAACAGTTTCGAACTCGCATTAGACCGACATTTTGGAGCTTCATTCATTTCAACGTTGACCCTACGACCTTTGCCAAATATTAACGTATAAGGCGTTTTCATGACGGGACTGGTTCATACAACAGAAATTGGCTAATAAAGCCTTATTTGGTTTTATTAGTTAAACAGAGCCCCGTGTCACGACTGGTAATTCCAATCGGAACGAGACAAACATTCAAACAAATCCTGAAAAATTGCCCTTCATCATCTCGCCTCGGCTTTGATTTTGACGCGGAATGTAAACAAATCATGACATTGTAATTAGGCTGTGTAGGAATACAATTTATGATTAACGAGTTTATAAAGGAAGTTGATTAACCCGAATGGCGACTTTGATCAATGCCGACAGTTTCGATGATATGAATGGAGTTTTACGTCCTTCTATTTTGCTCATATTTCCTGAAATAATTTTCAATTTTTTGTCTCTTTTCAGCTGGTATGATGCTTCATTCCCAGGGTACACCACTGGATCCATGTCGAGTAGCGCCATTTGTAAATTTACCAAACGTCAGACCTGGCGAATCGATTGAACGTCTACCATTTTCACCGTTCCTACCTTTCTATCCTTTACATCCAGCTACGGCCGCGGCAGTCGCAGCCGCAGCTGCATCCCAGACTCCAATTCATCCCATGCTCCTATATCATCATCACTTGGCAGCGAGTGCGGCACTGAACTATTCGTCACTTCCGGAAAGCAGCTTCCGCTCAACCAAGAACTCCAGTATTGCAGACTTGAGGTTAAAGGCGCGTCAACATTTAGCAAGTTTAGGAATGTGATACGCTTTTAATAAGAGTTAGTGTTCCTTTAATCTTTCAATTTTGCTGAGTCATGTACGTTTTGGATTGGAGGAAGAGATACTTTAATATTAAAACATTGTGCCAAATAAACAATTACCTCCACAGTTCCAATTATTTTTCTTCCATATGTCGTTTTGAAATCGGCAGAATGACGAGGGACTAAATGCCGAAATAATAATGTGCCGAAAGATTCTAAAAGATGGCGGAAGCTGTCCTCTTGATTGTGTGTTCGCAGTTATTCCGCGGTAAAGGGTTCGAAACTTCGAAGGCTAGCTCCGAGGAAGGAAAGTTTTTGTTATAAACAAAAGCTACATATATATTATCTCTAAATCGACATTGCGTTGGACAGATTCGAACCAACGGCACCTGTTTCCATGGTAATTTTAATCGTCGTAGCCCAGTACAATGCCGTTCGCTGTCAATTTTTCTAATAGTCAATGTAGAGTTATCTCCCATATGTCAAGTTGGATTTTCATGTGTTCATCACTGCTGATCTCAAATATATGGAACGCTTGGCAGTAATTGAGATCATAAATCGAAGGGTATCTTAAATGAGTGTGTTGAGACTAAAAGAATGGGCGTGGTTATTTAAATCGTACGGTTGATGATGGTACGTTTGAACTCAATTAATAAATTTGTATTTATTATCGTCTGTTGTTAATATTGTATTTATTAATTCATTGTAAATAAAATTTTAATTCTACCATAAATAATTTCTTATTTAATTCCTGGATGACAAAGTTTGGCCTAGCTTTACAATCTCTTATCATTTTACACAGGGAAAGAATTACCTAGAAGTTGGTGTATATATTTGTAAAATTTGTCCTCGCACATTGGTAACAGAGTTATTTTGTTGGTTTAACGGTCACATTCTCTCATTGCCACTTACATTTCAACAAAATATTAACAAGACCAAGAGGTCTACAGGGATTTTAAACAGAATCCTATATCCACTATTCTATAGTGGATAATTCTGTAAAATATTTTTGAGATCCGGTAGAAGCGTGGTGGATCCGATGGGATAATATCTGCCATATCAATCAAGACATAATGAAAATTATTTTTAACTGCAAAATATTGAAAGACCCATAAGCCCAGATCAGGCTAATATGTAAAGGCCTATAATTATGGAGAAACGGAGTTTTACATCCTGTGTTATACCTATTAGGCTTGCGAAGACGCTCCCAAAAAGTGGGCCTTCTTACTAGAGGAAATTTTATCAGTGCAGAGCCGATAAAACTCCGTTAGAACCCCCTACCTCCACCCCCGGCCCCTTTCTTAACTGAACTGACTACTTATGTAGTTGACTGCACTAAAATAACTGTCATGTAACTACACGTACACTAGTTTCACACCTCTATCAAACCACAGTGTGAAATTTTGCACATCTCTAATATTATGGTGCACCGGCAACCACAGGGCTTCGAATATGCTTTTTAACAAATTAGCCTACACAGGGTGTCTGGGATATAAAGTTTCATTTGGACACTAGGTACGAGGTTATGCGTTCTACTCTTCTATTATCCCATCAATAGACATCGTAAAAAAAAGAGCTAAACGGGCGGTTATTTAGAATTAAAAATGCATCAGAAGCAGCCGAGCCGAGATAAAATTTCTCGAACCCCTGTGATCAAGTTGTAATCAGTGTCACATGACCACTGGTTTATTCAAGATGGCGGATGACAAAATATCGTTGAATATGTTTCAAGCTTTAATTGGAGTTTTAGGTAAGATTTTATTGATATATTTTCTCAAATTTTTGTCTGCTTATGCGTTTATGGTAGGGGCACAAATCCAAAAAGTTGGAAAACAGTCTGATTTGTAGTTGTGGCGAACAGTAAGCGGAAAGTTTAACAATTGTGCTCTGTCGTTGTAAGTGAAATGACATTTAGTCATTAAAATATACACACGTGATACTATGAATGATATCTTTGAATGGCGATTTAAAACGAGGAAACATTGACAAATATGAAAAAATTCATTTGTTGTCAATTTTTTTTTATGGATTTCGTTTCATTTGTTGATGTTTAACATCTTCTTTCTAGCCTAATGACACTTTTTTGTTTTTTTAATATTTAATAGGTAAGCTGAAGAATTGATGCACACAAGACCAATTTCTGAATTCTGTTTGTATATTTTTTCAGCGCTAACTGTGATAAGTTGTCAGGAATTGGTAGTAACGCATGCACCAGATTATGTTTCCTTTCATCAACAAGATTCCGGTAAACTGGAATCTTCAGACGTTCCTGATATTATAGCTTCCACTTTAGGACTCAATACACAATCCGTAAGTATGGGAATTGATTTGATCATGAAAAAGGGCCTTTACCAAGGTGATTCCTTATTCTTATCCATTTTGGTATACTCTCAGAGGCACCGTCTGTGGAATTTTTAAGTGTACTGCACAATGCTAGGCCAGCATCTCTGCAACAAGCTAGCTACCATTTTATTGGATTGAGATATTGTCGACACCAAATGGGCTTGGTATTGTTTGTGTTTGAAACTTGGTGAAATAAAACCTCATATATTTTCTTCTTTTATTTTCAGGCAAATGGATTTAAAGGCATTTCCCACAATTCATTGTTTAAAAAACCAAAAGCGAATGTACTGATCTCCATAGTAACAGAGAAACAAGCTTCACCAATCAATTTAAAAAGTCTGGCAAGATTTCCTCTTAAAAATGTAAGTTTTTCTAGACACTATATAGTTTGAATCAAGGATCAACTTGTCGAAAAGATCCCCATGAACCTAAGTTGTTATCCTTGTAAAAGGTGTTCTTTCTTTAGATTATACTGGTAGAAAGGATCCACTTGAACCAAAAGTTGTGATTGTAAAATCAATGCCAAGAGGTTTGACCAAGGACCAGCTGGTAGAAAGAATCCACTTGAAAGTTGTTATCCTTGTAAAATCAGTTGTTCATTTGTTTTTTAATTATTATACTAAACGTATGTATTTTTTGTAGGATTTATTTGGTGTATCAATGGAGAATGTAATGAATAGTTTACAGCAGACATTTTTAGATCAAGATCCTTTGATGTTAGATATGATTAAAGATTCTAATGTAAGTATAGCAGCTAATTTGAAATCCCACAATTAATTTTAACCCTGTGCCAGTGCCTTCTGTTGGATAGTAACTTGTTACCTTTCAACCACCATAATCTCTAAAGTGGCAATGTAAGCCAATTTACAGAGTATATTTCATATGCAATGTAATTTATCTATTTTCAGTTATTTGATATGCAGACGGAGAACCAATTGTTCCGTAAATTACCCAATTCTATCAGAAAGGTCAAGGACAGATTATTTGACTCAGATTCCATTTTACGGAAGTTAACCCAAGGTTCGTTGAATATGACCTTGGACTCAGACGCCACCTTGATGAGCGAATTACAGATGATTGATGACATCATTAAAACGGTGAGTAAAAAAATTTATCAAAAAATAGATTCAAAATAAGTGTTTTCTAAATTTTGTATGTGTATCAGGGACACTGATAGCATCAATTTGCACTACTCCAATTTTCATTCTGTGGTTCTTCAAAAGTTGTTACCCTAGAACATTTAAGTGGAATTTCAGGAACCACAGACGTCTGATTGACAATTGGAATGATGTTAATAGAAGGCCTTAATGTTCCCTGATACACATAAAAAGTATAGAAAAGCCTCTTTACTAACCCTAAAGAATTGCATTGCAAAAGTTGATTCAAGAGAATTTTGGGGGATAATTTTGTAAAATTCACAAAGAATGTACTAATCTATTTATCTTTTTTTCTAGTTATCCAAAAATGAAAAATCCAAAAAGTCTAAAAGTCCAGATTTACTAAGTTTCACAATAACTGGAGTTAACCAAGTTGCAGACAAACATGGCGTCCAGTCTGATAAAGTAACAGACGCTAAAAATATGGTTACGGAATTCATTAATCATGTGAGTAGAAATTCTTTCTTACTGTGTGTGGAAGAGAAAGTATCATATATCTACAAAAAGTTAGTCTTGAAAAGCAGATCTGGGGACTTTTTCTCTGGTAACATAAATAATGGTCCATTGGGATCAAAACACACTACAGTGACAAGTTTCCTTCCTTGTGAACATGAGATCTGCATTTTACTCTGAATATATTAGCCTTATAACAAAACACAAGACAATATTATGGAATATAACACACTTACCATTACATCTGATGACGACATGTGTCTATTGTGTTGAAAAGTGTGTTATATTCCATAACATTGTGTTTTGTTTTTTTATCTGCTCCTCGCTTCTATATGTCGTTCAAATCTTATATTTTATAATATTGTCTTGTGTTTTGTTATGTATTAGCCTTGACTTAGTATTTTTGGTTATCTCTAGGCAACAGGAGAATTTAAGAAGCTATACAAAGATAATGTAGTCGTAGAAGTTTTGACCTTGAACCCTGGTAAAGGTCAAGTACGCAAAGCCAGAAGTCTGTTGGCAGTAACAACTCCTTCACCAGTAAGTCATTTTCAAACGCCTCTTTTGTCAGATTTCTCAATGGAAGGGGGGTAACTCTGTTTATGAAATTCATGTTGACTTGTATTGAATATAAGTTTGAGACAGGAGGGAGGGTTGAATGGTCTTTCAGAACATTTGATGCCATTCTTCAATTGGATCAGTCGGCTTAGCAGCCATTGCAGGGAGTTCACATTGTGGTTAATGCTTTATTTGACCATGTATTCACATGATACCACTCTACACCCATTGCCCAGAAATAATTTTTATTTTTCTTGCAGGAACCAAAAAAGAGTAATTTAAACCTAGCAGACGACTATGATGAGAACTTTCCCGCCATTTTTAACATGGTATTATGGTTAATGATAGTCCTAGCTATCGCTGTGTACGTTATTGTGTACGGAATGTGGTTTATGGACCCTGGACGAGACAGTATAATTTATAGAATGACCAGTCAACGTCTGAAGAAAGAATAACGCTAGGATTTATGCAAATTAGAACAAAAAATTTATCAAGACTTTGCCAAATTTTATAAATTTCAATAATTTTATGATTGATTTTGTTGTGAAATTCTGAATTTGGGTGAAAATTTGTGATACATGTGAAAATCTTAATTTGGCAAAGTCTCCACAAATATAAAGCCCCATTCACATGACTAGGTTATTGGCATACTTTTGGACGAAAATCCTAAAGCCAAAACTTGAATTAATGTATTCGTTCTTTTAGTTGTTTGATTGTATGAATTTGTAATTGGTTGAAACTCACTCACATGTGAACTCATCCCTAGTTGTCATGTAAATGGGGCTTAGGGTAGTTGAATGAATGTATAAATGTTTCATATATTCCTTATATTTATTAGAACAAAACCGAGAGTCCCTTTGTCCCTTTTCAGAGCTGGGTATATTGTGCCAGTCATATATTGGACACCCCTTAACTTTTTATTGAACTCTTCTGCACATGCACACTGCTTATCAATATGATAGCATGATAGATGGGTCTGATTTATAACATAAGGGTGTTTTTGTTGTCTGTCCAATTTAATTCCATCTTCATAACACCCCTCGACTCTTTATTAGAATAGCCGCACATGCATTTTTTGTATCAGTTTATTAGCGTCATCGAAGAGTCCAATTTATAACATAGGGGCGTTTTGGTTTCTTTCCAATAATTTCCCACTTTGTATTGTATTATATAGTTTAAAATATCCAGATTTCTTTCTATAATTTCCACTTGTATATGTATATGTGTGTTAGAAGTCTTGGCCCCGTTCCACAAAAAAATGTAAGAATAATAATTTGTTGTAAGTGTGGAAATAACATTGAGAAGTATCATAATTACAGCAAAAATGATCGTGACAATTTTTCAGAATGGGGACTGCACTTTAAAGGCTGTGAACTGTATATAGTGGAATTGTTGGTGTAAATTTTTGTATAATTAATGGTTGATTGTCTAAAATTCCTCAAACATTCTCTCATACTAATCATGTTGGAAATTAGAATCCAACACTTGGATCATTCCAAAGTGGCATCATGTCTCTTTTATATATCCAATTTTTTTAAATCTTCATGAATTTAGGCTGCCATTTTAGTGTAGCAAGGATAGTATAGATTATGTTTTTATAGTCTCTGAAATAGTCTCTGATGCCCAGACTATTCCTGTCTAGCTCAGAGTAGACAAAGAGGGGCTGTATGAAAGAGACTACTCATGATATTGAAAACCTTTTTTGCAGTTTAACTTATGTTTAATTTATCCCAATGGTAAAAATTGTCGTATGTTGTTTTAATGTTAAACTGTAGTCCACCATTACTAGTTTTAGTCAAAAGGGAGGTAAACAAGTGTATTAAGGATCTGTAAAATAATGACATTAAATGTATAATTATATAATATATAAATAAATCCATTATTATAATCACTTGTTATATTTTACATCCACTTGTTAGTGTTATGCACGTGCATTTTGTTAGTGACCTACTTGGTCCTTGCACTGTTTGTCATAGTCCAACAAATTACAGACGTAAAACTCAAAATCTGTGTATGTCCGCAAAAGAGTGTTGAAGACACACCACCCTGGTCCGTCATTCAAACCGGACCTTACGTCACAAACTCCCAATCAAGTTCAGACTACAGTTAAATCACACATAAAAACCATTGATAGTTTTAGTTGTAGGTCCATTTCGAACAAACGGACTCAGCGTTTCTTTCTCGCCGCTTTCCGTATTTAGCGCAATACGATTCCCGTCGTGATCCGTGGTAGACCATTCCGTTTCGGAAATCGCTTGGCTGGAATTCGGAAACAATGGTACGATCTGCCCCACATCGCCGACTTTAAAGACGATTCGTATCTTATTTAAAGGTTTTGGAGGGATGCCACCAGTTAGGCGTTTGAGGGCGAATTGCACGTCGTAGTTTCCGTGGGTCGAAAGAGTGTATAAACAAAAATCGTGTCTCTGCACCTCGGGTTCGAGTCCGATTATAATTTTATAGAAACCCAACATATCGTACCAGTTGACGTCACTCACGAACAACATCACGCGCAAATGTTCTTTCCCGTAATGAACTTGTCGGACCGCCCATAATGGCAGATCCGCAGACGTTGAATAAAATTCCTGCGAATTGTACGGGTATGGATTTATATTTCGTATTTTCATTTCTTCCGAATGATGAAACGTCCACGGCGGGTTTTCAAACTGTCGCCTGCCTTCTTGAATCCGTTCACATTCCAACATTCCGTCCTCGAACAGGAAAATCACAAACGCAACGGACACGAAACCTTGGGATTCCGACGTATTGTCGTCTGCAGACGTCTGAATTTTCAACAAATTGACGTCTGCTCCGATTAATTTGAAAACTGGATGATAAAGTTCGGAAAGGTCTGGATCATCTTGTCCTTGGAATATTCTCACCGAGATCTTGGAAGTCTCTGGTTCCAACTCATTTTCTGATCCATATAAACTGACGTCACTTCCTGTTTCATTGTTGTTGGAACTCATGATTATCTAAGGTAAAGGTTTCAAGATTAAATGTTACGTTGCCGTCTGGTCAAGATCTCCAAAATATTGTGGTCGGAAATCTCTATATCTCTTTTTGTGGTTTTCGCTAAATTCTACTGATGCTTACTAAACGGAACACCGGATATCACTTTAGTCTACTGGTCTACTAGCTGTAGTATTAAGGCTAAGGCATTGTCCATTCGTTTTTCAACAACACAGCATCATCCAATTTGAACCAATCCAACTACCAGCTACTACAACTACCAACAACTACCTCAGATTGCGCTATCAGCATCCGCTGGAAGCGAACGTTAACTTGTCATCTACCAACAACTGCCTAGTTTGTGATATCAGTTAGCTGGAAGCGAACGTTAACTTGTCCTCTACCAACATCTACCTAGTCTGTGATATCAGCTAGCTGGAAGCGAACGTTAACTTGTCATCTACCAACAACTACCTAGTCTGTGATATCAGTTAGCTGGAAGCGAACGTTAACTTGTCATCTACCAACAACTACCTAGTTTGTGATATCAGTTAGCTGGAAGCGAACGTTAACTTGTCATCTACCAACAACTACCTAGTCTGTGATATCAGCATCCACTGGAAGCGAACGTTAACTTGTCATCTACCAACAACTACCTAGTCTGTGATATCAGTTAGCTGGAAGCGACCGTTAACTTGTCATCTACCAACAACTACCTAGTCTGTGATATCAGCTAGCTGGAAGCGAACGTTAACTTGTCATCTACCAACAACTACCTAGTCTGTGATATCAGTTAGCTGGAAGCGACCGTTAACTTGTCCTCTACCAACAACTACCAACAACTACCTAGTCTGTGATATCAGTTAGCTGGAAGCGACCGTTAACTTGTCATCTACCAACAACTACCTAGTCTGTGATATCAGCATCCACTGGAAGCGAACGTTAACTTGTCATCTACCAACAACTACCTAGTCTGTGATATCAGTTAGCTGGAAGCGAACGTTAACTTGTCATCTACCAACAACTACCTAGTTTGTGATATCAGTTAGCTGGAAGCGAACGTTAACTTGTCATCTACCAACAACTGCCTAGTTTGTGATATCAGTTAGCTGGAAGCGAAAGTTAACTTGTCATCTACCAACAACTACCTAATCTGTGATATCAGTTAGCTGGAAGCGAACGTTAACTTGTCCTCTACCAACAACTACCTAGTCTGTGATATCAGTTAGCTGGAAGCGAACGTTAACTTGTCATCTACCAACAACTACCTAGTCTGTGATATCAGTTAGCTGGAAGCGAACGTTAACTTGTCATCTACCAACATCAACCTAGTTTGTGATATCAGCATCCACTGGAAGCGAAAGTTAACTTGTCCTCTACCAACAACTACCAACAACTACCTAGTCTGTGATATCTACCACCATCTATAAGTCTTCATTCTTCGTGCAGTCTTTCTTTCAGTGACTCTATTTCATTTCGTTTCGAACAACTTATTTCTATTTTCCGAAATGTTGATCATCGAATGTCTCTTAGTTTATTCCTGAGAAAAGAAAAATTTAAAAAACTGATATAGGTATAAGTAAGTGCTATTATTTTAATTAGGTCTACTAGTAATATTGTACCACGATATTTGTTAAAAAAGGGGGTATTATTGGACTATTTAGTGTGTATATTTGAAGGTATATGGTGTATTAATATAGGTTATAATAGATGAATGGGTCAGTGTATGAGATATTATATAGCTTTAACTAAACCCCATATTCATAACCTCTAAACGACGATAGAATTGTCCTCAGTTGATATATATATTGACTGACACTTCTAACTGGTTAACAGTAAAATACCCGGCTGTTGTATTTAGTTATAGGCATTAAATAAACCCACAATCAGGCAACATTATTCAGTGTCCAATAGGAGAAATAAACTAAACCCCATACCCCTAAAATTGTCCTCGGTTGACATATATATTGACTAACGTCTAACGAGTTAACAGTAAAAAAGATCCGGCTAATGCATAGTAAAAAAAAAAAACACAATCAAGCAACATTATGCAGTGTCCAATGGGAGAAATAAACTAAACCCCATGACCCTAAACAACGATAGAATTGTTCTCGGTTGACATAAATATTGACTGACACGTCTTACGGGTTAATAGTACAAAAGATCCGGCTGATGCATGGTTAAATAAACCCACAATCAGGCAACACCATGCAGTGTGCTTTGAGAGAAATTAACGAAACAGTGTATTCATAACCCATAAACAACGATAGAATTGTCCTCGGTTGACATAAATTGACTGACACGTCTAAAAGCTTAACAGTGAAAAAGACCCCCTGCTGTACCCACAAGCAGGCAACACTATGCAGTGTGCAATGAGTGAAATTTTAACAGGACAGCAAAATACGAACAAAGGCTATAGGGTTTAAGTGTCAAGAATTATTTCAACCAGTGTACAATGAGGGATCACCCGATCTTGTGAAGTATTCAATCAATAGTCTAGTCTTTTGAACAAAAAGTACAGTAAGTCAACCTAGAGGGTGTAAAATGACCATAACCTACCTTGCACTATATTTATTATCCAATGACGCCGAGAATGTTTTCTATGTACCATTGAATATCCGACACGGTTAGCCAACCTAGAGGATGTAAGGACGTTGAAATTGTTACCTTGATATCCAATGAACAAGTCAATAAGCTAAAAAGACAGATTGATCTGATATTCGTGTTAATAATGAAACAGTTACCATGGAAAATTAAATACACATTGTTGACTTTAGATGAGGGTTTGACTGTATTCGGAAATTTAGAGTCACATACTTCTTCTCGAAAATTGTCTCTAACAGTAAGCGTATTCCGATTTTTGTACCCTATAAGCACGCCAGACAGGCGAACAGGCCAAAGTAAAGCTGGAAAAAGTGCCAACAATTTTGATATCATTTGTCAGTTCTCGGGCTATTCCAATACATATTCATTATATGCTTGACGAAAATTTCGAAACATATTTTGTTGAAAAATTTTGAATAGTTCCGATTGTTTAAGTACACGCTATTTTCAATGTCATTTTCAAACTTTTTAGATGACAAAATTTCTCCAAGGTTGTATCGTTATTATAAAATGCCTAACTAGTTTTCGAGACAAATTCCGTATAAAATTATCCTAGGTTGAGATTGTAAACGTCAACTGTCAACCAAACGTCGAGAATGTGTTCTGTTTACAAAATGGGCTTGTAACAAAAGTTAGTCCCAAAAATCGAATTTTCACTAATGCTAAAATAAAGATCTTTTAAGTCGTTTTTCTACACTTTTCTATTGAAGACAAAAATCCTGCAGATTTTACTCATCGCAACGTTTCATTGTTGTTCTATTTTGTTTTCCATTCTGAATATAGAGAGTGCCAAGCCATTCTTAAACAATATTGCCCCTTTTTTGTCTTTTGATTCAGTTTTCAGTCCTAATGAGGATTGTGTATCTGAAACACTTCAGTAGTATGAGATGAGCTCCAATCACTTAACTAACATCAATTCCTATATTATAAAGTTAACCACCCTTTCCAAAACTAGCTGTCCTGATGAGGATTGCTCTACGCAATCACTAGACATTTGTGTGAAATCTAGTCGCAATTTACAGGACTTGATCAAAAAGAAATTAATTAACAATTCTGGGGGATCGATAATTAAAAATCAATAATTTACAAATCAAAAAACAATATCACACAATATTCATTATCGATTTCTAGAATCTCTATTCATATAGAGAAGATACTTTTAATGAAATGCAATGACCGAGAAATATCACAATTGCGATTGTTGGGCTATTGTTTATGGTGGTTGAAAGCGGCCATTTCGCACCTTCGCTTCTCGTAATTACAATCGGCACAATTCATGATCGATTTCTGAGATCTCTATTCTTATCGCATATACTTAATGAAATCCAGTATAGCTACCATCGAAACTGTGACCCCCATCCCTACCCTGGTTTCATAAAAATGCAATGGTCCAGCACTGGAACTATCGCGATTGTCAAGCTTTTTTTTATGGTGGCTGAAAACAGCCATCTTGGATCTACGCCTCATGGGATTAAAAGTAAATAATGAATTAAATATAAGATTTTATAATCAAAATATTATACATATTCAACATATCATATTACACAAACTAGAGCAAATAAGCAGAGAAGAAATGGAATTTTGAAAATCAAACTATTCCTATCCCCACCCCACCTTACCCAACTAGAATTCTAAACCCACCCCACCTTATCCCCTAGAACCCCACCCCTTCCTATACCCCATTCAACCAAAGTTAGAAGAGAATACTGTTGGACGAAGGGCGGTGCTTGAATAAAATTAACAATTTAAATTCAATACATTCAAGACCATCCATCCATCCACCCGCCCAACCAACCCAATCTGACCCCACCCCCAACCAACCCTAACCACCCCAAAGTTTACTATTGGGTGAAGGGTAGTGCTTTGAGTGTAATATTTTCAAAGCTGCTACCGGTCACCCTACTCAACACCAACTTAGCTCCACCCTACCCTGATACAACCCTCCCAACTAAGACTTCTACCATCCACCCCAACACATACACATAGACCCCACCCCCCTCCTCTAATCCCAACCCACTCCAATGTCACCCAACTTACCCGAAATTATAAAAAAAATTATAATTTTATGAAGGGTAGTGCTTGAATAGTATATCTTCTATGCTTCTACATCCACTTCCACATCGTAATGTTTCTTGAGACTCTTGGTGGCACAATCAATCCTAGGCTTGGATGATAAATCAAACTTTTCACTCTTCTCATTTGGTGCTTCTCTGTATTAAAATATAGATAAGCCCCAACCGTGACTGTGGGGGTGTTAAGACTAGTTTTCGTGCAGTGCAGTGCAGTCTTTTTTCTATGGCCAGAATGGGTTGGATTGTAGTTGTTGGGGTCGTTTTTGGAACATTCCTGCATTTTGATGAGATTCTATGACCCATAATAGATGCAAAATTATTTTTTGTATTTTAAACGAAAGGTTTAAATCTACCAGATCTGCGGTCTAAATAGAAAATTTCTTGAAAAAACTCTTTTTAGGATTTGTACTTAAAATATTCTAGTTTGGTTGAACGAGACTACAATCTTGACGCCTGGGTTATCTCCCGCTAAAAGAAAATCAACTTCCGGTTATAAAAATTTACAATTTTCGCGAAATTTACCCATATATTCACATACTACATACATAAAACTTTAAAAATAGATACAGATATTGATAATTTATGATTTGCAATGAATTATTTGCCAAGAAAAAAGAGATTTGTCGAAAATCAGCCTTAGTTACGACCCGATCAGTAACGCGTCGGCTTCCCTGGCAACCGCGTACACACACCAAAATCCAAACACAACACTGCAACCGGGGTTAGATTAATGTCGAGTGACGAAGGATTTCATTAATTTGTGTAGAACCAGACGACTTTAATCAATCATCATGGCTCTACCTTTCCTCCCCGGCAATAGTTTCAAACCTTCGGTAAGTGTTTTACTTTCAAAATTAAGAAAAATTGTTGAATTCGTACATTTTTCTTCACTTTTTCAGTCGTAACATACCCAAATTTTTATGGCTTTTTTTAGACTAGACTATGTTACATTAAATGGTCCAATTGCATTAGCTTACCAATATTTATGATAACCTTTAATAAGCTGATTCTTATAATTATAATTAAAAAAATAAGTTAATTTTTATTTTTCTTACAGCTTGGTAAAACAAAGCATCACAAATCCCACCATTTTGATTATTCTAACGATGTTTCTATGTTGGTTGGTGCCTCGAAACCAGGAATTGGTGGGGAACCGTTACGTGGACAAGTTATTCAACCTAAAAATAGTATCTACCCTCGTGGTGAGGGCAGTAAATTACCGTCCTGGGTAGCATTTGATCGTCAAGTTTTATGTTTTGATGCGTTTTTCCACGAAGATGTCATTGAGAAACGAGAGGAACAGTTCAGAGTTCGAGAATGTAAAATCTATTTTTATCTGGAAGATGATTCTATTCAAGTTATTGAACCCAGATCTAAAAATGCTGGAATTCCTCAAGGTAAGCTTAAAATATTTTAAGATAATTTAAGCTTTTTGAGCTTTGATGCTTTGTGTTTAAGTTTGCTTCTTATTGGTGCCAACTGCCACTGAAGGCATCAACCTCATTGGCCATGCATTCAGAATTCCTAGAATATAGTAAAGACATCTTGCATTGAAAGGAACATTTAATTGGTTGAATATTAAGTGACCAAAACCTGAGATTCATAATGATTTTGTCAGATCATGGATGGCAAGAAAAAATCTGAAACAAACAAAAATCTTAATATTTCGTTTAATCAAATCGTTTCTTCAATAAAGAGTGCAAAAATGGACTGAAAATAGCCATGTGACCCTTTTACAAAAACCGAAAAAATATTATCTATCAAATTTGAGTGGCCAATTAATTTTTGAAATTGATTTTCAGGAACATTAATCAGGAGACACAGAGTTCCACTGCCAGCACCGAACAATGATCAATATTACACCATAGAAGATTTTAACGTTGGCAAATCTCTCAACTTGTATTCTAAAATATTTAAAATCACTGGGTCTGATAAATTCACCTATAATTTCCTACGTAAAATGGGAGTAAAGATTGATCCCCCGTCAGAGATACCTTCTGACCCCTACAGTGAATATAGAAAGGCTGTAAGTACCATTTATAGAATTTTTATAATGTTCAAACGGGTACATAATAGCTCAACCAAATTTTTATGACATACAGAAAAATACTTTAAAATTATTTTGAGAACCCATCCACTTTGAAAATTTCAAATTTTGTTTTCAATAGAACACGTTATCACAAAATTATAATCTCACAAAATATTTCATTTACAGATGGATGGAAGTATGCAGCCATTACGTCCCTACGAGAAACACGATACATTTAAACAATTCTTAGATCACGATCGTCATGTCTTGAGATTCTACTGCTATTGGGACGATACAGATAACATGTTCGGAGATCCCAGAGAAATGGTGCTACATTATTTCCTTGCTGACGATACTATCGAGATCCGTGAGGTCATTCCACCAAATTCAGGCAGAGATAACGTAGCTGTGTTCCTTCATCGTGGTAAATTACCAAAAGATATTGAATCCCTCCAACAACCTGGCGTTAAAACTGATCGAACTGTTTTAAATGTCTTCGGTCCGATGGGACATGGTGGGCGTTATATCTTGGATAGCTTAAAGGTAGGTTGTATATTCTTTCTCCATTCTTTGAACACTAGCTGCTTTTGATCTTATTCATGAAAACCTAACTTACAACGGTACAATTGTTGCCACATGTTGATTGAAGGACAATATGTGGCAACAATTTGTGGAAAATAAAGATTTAAAATAAGTAACTTTGTATAGAGAATTATTAGAATATGAATATATTTATTCAGTTTGTCACGTGATCAATTGAGTTTACGCACCAATAATGCCATTGCTATGTTATATTCAACCTGTGTTGTCCCTTAATCTAATCTAGCTTCTGTAAATTTATTTCAGACTGGCGCTATCCAGACTGATTTTTACCGAGACAGTGATCTTACTATTGGTACTGTCATCAACGTCTGGGGACGGAAACTTGTCATCTGTGATTGCGATGGTTTCACTAAGGAATACTATAAAACTAAATACGGAATCGGTGAGTTGTTTTGCAATTTATGATTATTTCCGTTGATATTAGCTATGTGTACTCTCTGAAAGGGATGTGATATGTTGCAATGCAATAGCTCAGTTCTATTGTCATCTACTAAGCTATAAGATCCTTTTTTTGAATCCTTCTCATGGTAAGATAATTCTGAAGCCATGGCCTGTGCTTCCAAGAATTGGCTCAGTGTCAGCTTTCACGCCCTTATACCAAATAAATAATTTTAGCTATGTGAACTCTCTGAAAGAGATGCGAGTTTGACATACTGTTTTTGTGCATATTATAAGTTAAGTTCGAATTTAAGGATTTTTAACAAAATTTTATTTATCTGATTTTCAGAGGGATTTTCACCTGTAGCTTATAAACAGTCTTCAGGATTTAAGATCGAACGCGAGTACCCACCTTACAATGGGTTCGGAAGTGAAGAGGACTCCCTTCGTTCCTGTATGGGTCTTCAACCTAAACCACCCAAACGTGACTTCATCAAGTTCATGGAAAAAGATCGTCAAGGTTTAGAAAGTAACGTGCTCCGTTTCCTTGCCAAGCTGGACACCAGGAAACCCATCGATATGGAGCGCCAGTTTATTATTTCCTACTTCTTGTGTGACGACACTATCTTAGTGTTTGAACCTCCAGTTAGAAATTCAGGTAAGAATCAGAAAAATTTCAAAAAAATTATTAAGTATGTGCATGGACAGCAGAATTTTTGCTTCAGCAAAAAATGGAGGAATTAAATAAAAAAAGAACTCCAAAAATTGCACGTTTTCATCATTTCAAAATTATATTTCCATCCTTTTAGTTTCATTTAAATCTCAAACCCCTTAATTTTACTTTAACAGCAAATTCCTCAGACCAATTTTTAAGTTAAGCTTCTCTTGAATCCTTTCAGGAATAATTGGTGGTAAATTCTTGGAGAGAGGTAGAATAAAGAAACCAGGACAACCTCTATACAGCACCAAGATGTCAGAATATTTCTCAGCACAAGATCTGTTTGTCGGAGCCAATGTTGATTTCTCCGGGCATAAATTTATCATTGTAAATGCTGATGAATACGCTTTCAGATATATGGAAGAACATTCTTCTGAGGTTAGTTATGATAATTTTTGAATATCAAAAAGTCTGAAATTGATTACATTTGTGTGTACCAACTTCATAAAAAATTCACGGTTGAACTCTGGGTCAACTCTAGGAAGCACTGGCTGTGGCTTCAGAGGACGATTCAAACACACAGCACCTAATTGCATTACAGACGACAATCTAACTCTCTACCGACAGAGCCATTCCACTGCCCTATTTTCTGCTGAAATAATTTAATAGTTTATGACCAGTTTCTAATTTTTTTAAATTTTTCTTTCAGTTCCCGTTAGCCAACATCAACCAAGCCATCCAAAAAATAAAATCTAAAATCGGAAGCAGCATGGAAGATGTCAGATCATTCTTCGCTCGAAACGACCCACACGGAGCCGGCGCCATCAACTACGAACAATTCCACTCGTTATTGAAACAAATCGATAGCAACTTATCGGAACAGGAAATCATGACTATAGCTCGTTACTATAGCAACAGACAGGGAGACAACTCCATTGATCCTGCTAAAATGATGGCCATCATACAAGAACAGCTACGAAAAAATAATTTTGAAGATTTTGCCAAACTACAAGATGGTCTACAGTATGAAGACAAAGAAAAGTAAGTTTTGAAAATAATTCTAAACTTTAGGACCAAGATTTTGGAGGGTTTTTTTTTTTCACGAAACGTCTCTGGGGTTTTATTTTTGAATCAGTCTTTTGATTGGTCACTCAATATAACAATCAATTAGACTGTGAGGAATTCTGGTGTTATTATATTTTCTGTTGTTTTAGGTCTGGTTTATTAAATGCTGAAGTGATCAGAACAGTCTTTTCCTCTCACCACGTTCCTCTACCAGATGATTTAGTACGAGCTGTTTTACTAGTGTAAGTATTCCCAGCCTCAATAGATATTAGTGGAACTTACGTCCTATTTTTATGCTCAAGATTGTTTTAAGTACCATCAGGTGTTTCTAAAAGAGTAAGCATGGTCTGCTTGGCAAGCGACACCTTCCACTACTATAATGGTAAAAATCATGAGATACAATCAGATCACGTGACCAAACAAATCAGCCAAGATACAAGAATCAGATATATACCTTATAGAGAATGAAATCTACAATGTTTATATATATTATTGGGCTAATCAGGACCATATTATGCAGTGTGCTATGAAGGAAATTCTGCTGCAAGAGTCTTTCAATTTCAAACTGTTAAAGAATTTTTATTGTGCACAGTCTATCTCACACTAGGTAGAGTCAAAGTACTTTGTCTATCCCATTGCATGTTTTTGGATTCTTATTTTCCTTTTATAATTTGGACTTAATTTTTTTTGGATTTATTCTGTTCTTATGAGTTATTTTATTTTTTTTACAGTGCCCCTGGTGATGGTAGTGGTAACGTTTCATACGCTGAATTTATCTCCCTTATCAACTGGAAAGATAACCCTGCCCCACCCGTTCAATACACAGCCACCCAGGATGAAAATTGGGCAGGTACCCAAACCAAAAATCAAATTCATTCCATCAGCTATGAAGCTTTGTTAAAGGACATATTTGGAAATATTGAGTAACTTGTTGAGAATCTAGAATTTGTGATTTGGAAGGAAATTTTAAATGCACATGCATTCTGAGTGTTGACTTACTTCTTAAATTTGAGCTTTTATTTTTAAATCAAATATATTGTCACAGATTAAGTGCATCTTAATTTCACTCCAAATCAGAATTTTGGAAGAAAATTTTGTTAATTTTGAAACTGCTGGGAATACAAAATTCATGATTTGGAAAAAAATTACAAAATGCATTCTAAATGTTGACCTAATTTCGAAATATATATTTTTATTTGACCTCTATAATGTTAGGTCACAGATTGTTAGCATTCGAGTTTCGCTCCAAATCAGAATTTTGGGGAACATATTGTTAATTTTTAATGCATGTTGAAAATGCATGTGCATCAGTGAAAATCTGGGTCACTGAGTCATTGTTTTTAACCATTGTGTGTGTATATATATATCGTCTGTGATATTGTTTTATTTTGTAAATAATCTGATAATTTATATTCTAACCTCATCAATAAGCTGATGATTTTAATTATAAAGAAAAGTAAGGGGGGTGGGAGTTTGTAGGAACTGAAAATAGAAAATGTGCAAATTATTTAGCCAAGTCTCTTAACATTAGGGGCATCACAATTTGAAAAATTATTGAGGAAGGATCTCTTGATTCCATTTGGAAGTGTGTTTAACTTGGTGAAGCCCCAATTCGATTAACAATAATGTTTTTTACAAATTTCTGAACTGTTCAACAAAGGCAACACCTGAAAATAATCCTGAACTGAAATTAACTGTACAGCATTTTAACATTGGCTTCCATGATTTAATTAGCATTAGACATTGTCATTTGATTTTCTAACCATGATGAATAAACTCTATATAAAGTAATTGTTTTAGTCTGTGAGTGTTAGATATGGCACAGTTCAAACCCCTATTGTTCTCCATCTTTGATACATTATCATCAACCCAATAAAACGTGTTCCACTTTATCCAAATAGCTTCATATCAGGCGGTGAATTTTAACCAATCTTAATTATATTATTAAACAGCAGAAATAACTATATGAAAACGCACTGACGACACATTTGAAAAAAAAAAAACAAATTTTGATTCAGTTAATGTTTTTAACATTAACACTAATAAATACAACAAATTACGATAATTTACAAAAATATAACAAATATCACAAAATTCAACATATTTCTTATAAATCTATTCAAGACTTTCTTTTAATTTAGTATGTACATCTTCCAGTTCTTGTTTCTTTTTCTCCAGAAATTCTTTACTTTTCAAATTCTCTTCTTTGAATAAATTCCTGCAAGAAGCAAATTGAAGTTCCAGCTTGATGAATTTAAAATGAAAGAAAGACAACAGAAATTGCCCTTGTGGTTGTGAGAGGACAAATTTGAGCACTTTCGAAGCGTGTTAAAAGTCGAAAAAGAGTATGCCTGTCCTGGCAAAATTATCCTCACTGTATTCTACAGTAACTGCACGATGTCTGTCTTCATTAGGCACAGAAAATTAGGATGTAAAACTCCATTTCATTTCTTATGTGGTAATGAAAGGATATTTCAAGAAAAGAATTCAAAATTTTATTGATCTATATACCAAATTGTACGTCTGTTATCCTCTGTTATATCAGGATAGTCCAAATCTTGTTTTTGTTCGATGGTCAACGTTTCTAAAACTTGGCTTAAATTCTCCATTTCACTGCTCAAACACTTCTCTGGAAAAAAAACCAAAAGAATTATCAAATTTCCTTGTAAGTAGAAGTATTCGCCAATTTATAAGATATATTGTGAAATCATTTTTTCAAATACAACTGACTTCACAATATTCAGAAATCTCATATTTTAAGTTAAAGATAATGTAAAGTAGTTTAGTAAACTTTGTTTGTGTTTTCTGATTTTCAGTCAGACGTCTGCTTGGTCTTGCAATTCCACTAAAACCGAGCTTTTATGACATCACTCTCAAGGCAAAGGTACTTAGATATTATTAGCAACTCTGAGCAACTTAGCTAAGGTAGAATTGCAAGAACGACGGACGTCTGATTGAAAATTTGAATGGGTAAATTAATGCTATCCTTTGTCAGAAGAATTTAAATTTTTGAAAACTTACTTTCATTGATGATTTCTTTCTGTAGACTTTCCAGTTTCTGATATTCTGATTCTAAATTCTCATCTTGCTGCAAATAAAATAATAGGGTAGTGTATAATGATGGAAATTTGGCCAAGACTGCAGCATTAGCCTACATTTTATCAATTTCCAACTATGGAGGGATCTATAATGTCCACAGCCTGTAGCACACAGGACCTCGGTTTATTGTCCCATCTGAACGATTAGGCACGTTTTCTTCATCGGTTCCTCTATGTCTTAAAATCTGGATTGTTTTTGCAAAAACTTACATGGAAATTCCTGGCATTCATTAACATGTTAGAAACCTTGGATAATTCTTCTTCAAATTTAACTCTGAAATATAGGATATGCTAACTTTGACTTTATTTTCACTATTATTTGTTTATTATGAATTAGTCACTAGTTAATTCTATAAATATCCATGTCTAATTTAAAGAAGAAGTTAAAAGTTTAAAATATTGTTATCTCCCTTTAGTCTCCTAAAACAAATTAAAAATGTAACCTACACAATTTTATCTTCAAGAGTTTTGCTGAATATTTCTTTAAATGCAATTCTCAACTTTTCATCTTGAATTTGCTATGTTGCAAAAGTAACTTTGGTTCTGCAAAATTTCAAACCACATGAAATGGCTATTGTCTTCCTTTAGTCTTTAGTTACAAAACTTAACTTACACCTCTTTGTCTTGTTTTTGTTTCTCACTTTCAATAGTTTTATTCAGATCAGCTATTTTCTCTCTTTTCTTATTATTCGAGGCTTCAAGACTGAAATATAGAATTAGATTTGATAGTTCATGTTCTGCACAAGCTGTTCTATGAATTACTAATTAAGGAGTCCAAACGGGGGACTCAAAAGCAATATCAGCTACGTCAAATGAAAAGAAATTTGAAGTGAGGGCGGGGAATCCAGTCTGTTTTCGGTATTCCCCCTCCTCTCCTCTTACACTGCTCTTAAATCATCCCTTCCAATATGCAGGGTTTCAAATGAAAGTCTTACCTATCTGCCTGAGCCTGTGTTTGCGATACTTTCAACTGAGCCACTTTCAAAGTTTCTAAAATAAAACAACAACTTCTATAGATAAATCCAACTTAAATAGGTCTAAAAATCTTAACTTAAAGATGTTGGGCTTTTTTCTTCTAAAATAGGATTTTTAACGTCATTTCTATCAATTATAATTGTAAAAAACTCACCATTCATTTTTTGATGCATGTCTGAAACTTGCATCCATTTCATATTCACTGCAAAAAACAAAACAAACAAAAATATCAGTTTTAATTGGACACATCTTAGGCCTAAAAAAAACTCAATAATTTACTATGCAGGACATGTTAAAGTTTCGACTTGGTTTATCCATAGAACTGTATGTCAGTATACAGTTGTAGGGTTTATCAGATCAGTAACCCTTTTAAAGAGTCCACATTATGTAGTTTAACTAGACTCATTTTCTGTGCTGATAGGGCACTGACCAAAACCCTACTCTGTAAGCCAAGTCTACCATGAAAGAAGGGTCTAGTTAATAGTTAAACACTTAAGTGAGTCAGGCTTACCCATTTCAAAATGTCTCTCAGCATCTCTTCGCTTTCTTCTCTGTTCATTTAACTTCTGTTCAAGGCATGTTTTTTCTAAAACATGGAAAAAAACAAACTGAATACGTCTACAGAACTTCAAAGAAATGGTTCATTTTCCATCCCAGGGATTTCCCCGTCAGTCAGACTCTGCAGATACTGTTTTCAGTGTCGACTGTTAGTGTTCTTGGCCTAAGCCTAAAGCCTCGGAGTGATTTTGTCCCTATAAATTAGAAATTAGTTCAATCTTGCATCGACAATGTCAGTGTCAAACTGAGTTCAAACTCAAAAGAGTCAAAGCTAGGCAAAGATATGACGTCGTCGTTACCGTTCTGCAATTCTTTCAAATTATGCAGCAGAGTTTCAACTCTAAAATTCTGCTCCACAGCTGCCATTTTTTCATTCAAAGTAAAGTTTTTGTCGTGAAATTTTGATATTCTTAAATTCTAGAAAAAAATCAGTAGGCCTTTTGAGATCTCTAAAATTAGAGAGTTTGGCCCCAAGAGTTATCTCCCTTGAAATCAAAATGACGTTTGTCGTAAATCCTTTAGTAACATGTTTTGTTATTTTCCTGGTAATCTAATTTTTGTTCAGACACACCGTCAGGAGTTGGTGTATTTTTCAAAATATTTCAAATGAAATTTTTTAAAGAACATGAGATCTGTCGTAGAGCATTTACCGTAAGAAATAAGGTCAATGCTGCTCAACGCACGTGGCAAGTAGGATGATAGTGAGCTGTATCCATCACGTGATTCCATGTCGTTTGATCGGGAAAAAAATGGAGGGTTTTCAACTCTCAGTGTTTTTCGTGCAGTGGAGAAAGGTTTTGTTGATTTCCACAGGATGGATTTATTTTATGTTGATAATTCGTTGGAAATGTGTCTTTGAACAAAAAGTTATGAAATGAACGATGATGAATTTTCCAGTTTTGGACATCTAGATCTAAATGTGTGAACATGCAGAGATGTTTTTATTTTGGAACTTTGTGACTTTGTGTTCGATCTTATGCACAATTTGTGGTTGCTATTTTGACAGAATGTTTCTTGGATAATTAATCTCGGTACTCCCGAACTCTCAAACTGTGTCAATTCATTTGAAAGAGCAATGTCGTAGAAGACTTGCAAACAAGAAGGAAGCCCAAGGTAAGTCAGTTACCGGTCCTTTTTTTGGCTTCTTGAGTTGCTGTGTTCTTGGGATCCCTTTCCGCCCAGTCCGTCGTTTAGATATCCCTGATTATCACAGCCTTCATTTATATCGATTCTGGGTATAAAATATCGACAGTTTTATTATGTGGAGCAGAAGTTCTGTCGGTTAATAGAACTATGAAACATTTTCGAAAATTGTAGAAGGGAGATATCAGTTTTTTAATGATTTAGCTGTGGTCTGAAAATTATGGTTATTTAAATTGAATTACCTCCCTTCACCTACTTGTAGTTAAAACCTCTTGTTTAATGTTGGATTTAAATGACTGATATTAGTCATGCGCCATGGGTTCAAATTCTGTAACACATATATAGCATAATGCCTGGCATTAGACCACCAAAGTGGTGCGCCATGGGTTCAAATCCTGTCACACATGTTGTATAGATCTCTCTCTTTTTCACTTCATTTATGACCAGTAAGCGTACATGATCACTATTTATAACAAATTCTCTGGACAATCCGATAGTTCAATCTAAAGCCAGTTGAATTCAAAAGTTCATGTGACTGATTTGACGGGGATGTTTTATTTGTTTTTTTTTTAGAAAGATGAAGCTATATTTGGAATAATGTTTATTGTGCAAATATGGTAAAAAATAACAACAACAATAGATAATAGATAATAATAACAATAAATGGGTTAATGGTTAAAAGAAAAATAAATAGGATTTAATTGGGTCAAAGACTATTATTCACATGCATTGGTTTATTTCAGTGAGTTGTTTCTTTGCTCAAAGGCCTAAAGTCCAAATTTGGTGGGCTACAGACAACAGTAAAATAAATAGGATTAATGAAGTTCATCAATATCTTTTACCTGCATAACTATATAAATGTTTACTCTATAAAGGAAGGAATGCTAACAGTCTTAATAAGATAAGAATCTATTTCAACAAAAACAAAAATTTTAACAATTTTGTAAAATATCGTGAAAAGAAGAGAATTGGTTTTGTCATAAATCAAAATATTTAAAACAACTATTAAGCTTTTAACTAATATGGAAGAACTTATAACAAATTTATAGAACATCACAGTCCAATAATTTCAATATGTATAATCATCGAAAATATATTTATAAAGTTGATAAAGCAACCTGAAACACTTATCAATTTTACTGTTTAGGTTGAGGTTTCTGCGATACAAGCCACACACTTCAAATGGAAATAAATTAAATCGAGTTTATCGTCCTGCTTTTCTGTACATGGATTAGAGAGGAAGGACAACACCATGCAGTGTTCAATGAAGGAAATTTTACCAGGGGATTGGCATTAGCCTACTCTATTCAAATAGAAATTAAAGGTCATTAACAAAGTGTAATAAACATTGATAATTAATCTATAAAATAACAGTTAATATCAAATTGCTAATTATCAATTAAAAACAACCTCGTTAAATATTTACAGACCTTTTCACACCACAATCACGATATCTAACATGAAAATATAAAAACACAATTTATTGATTAAAAAATTAATAGAATTAATTAAATATTTAACGAACATTGAGATCAAATTATATCACACACAAATTTAAAATAAATTTACATTTCTCGGTCTATGCCAAGCCTAATTTTATTTTAAAAGCTGGTAAAGCACCTGTTATTCTTATCTTAACCACACCACCTTATCAATTAATAATTAGGACCATGGTTCACTTTATCCAAATAGCTTTGTTTGAGGCAGAAACTTCAAACCAATTGCGATCAAGCAACCTTTTATATGCTAAGCGTTTCCCATACACAAACATCAGGCATGCCTTGCCTTCCTTGCTTGTGTTCATAATTACAAAACAAAACCTAAAGATGGCTAAATGCAAGGATGCTTATTGGCAAGTTTAAAAGTCATGTGACAACATGAATCTTTATGATCGTTTTTACCAGCTATAAAAATTAAAATTAGGCCAAGCACCACCCTATTAATTAGTCACAATAATATACAGGTAGTAAAAATATCACATATAGTTTGGAATAACTAATAACAATTCATATTTGTTTGTACAATATCATAATAGGGGTTTAAAATTCACACTAATGTACTATCAAATATGCAATAGGGTTATAGTAAAGGGGAATTAACAATTTGTAAGTCTGGTGATCTTCAATAAGTCATCTTATTTAAATAGGTACAGATAGTCCAGCAAGAAAAGGTTATCTTTGCTCATTTCTTAAGTCAATCCATCTATAATTGCAATCTGAATAAGTCATCTGTCAACATATTCCAGTCAACCTAGTTGTAAATGGGTACTGAATAAGTCATCTTTTCATGTTATTCCAATTGAACCAGCTGTAAATGGCAACTGAATTAGTCATCTTTCCTCATTATTCCAGTCAACCCAGCTGTAAATGGGTGATGAATAAGTCATCTTTCATCATTAAACCAGTAGACCCAGCTGTAAATTGTTAAATGGTCATTTTTGGCCAATAAAGAGCAGTAAATAGGGTCTAGGGAAGGATTATGTCCAAAATTGGTTAGGATTTGTACAAAACATCTAAAGGCACTGATATTTCTCTACATTGGTATCACAATATACTTTCACAGTTAAAAAACATGAAATAACACAAAAAATCCAAGTTTCTTCTAAATTGTTATAATCATCAAAATATTTTCTTTACCAGCTGATAGAGCTCAACATAGTCATCTGAATATTTACTTTACCAGCTGATAGAGCTCAACATAGTCATCTGAATATTTACTTTACCAGCTGATAGAGCTCAACATAGTCATCTAAATATTTACTTTACCAGCTGATAGAGCTCAACATAGTCATCTTAATATTTACTTTACCAGCTGATAGAGCTCAACATAGTCATCTCAATATTTACTTTACCAGCTGATAGAGCTCAACATAGTCATCCAAATATTTACTTTACCAGCTGATCGAGCTCAACATAGTCATCTGAATATTTACTTTACCAGCTGATAGAGCTCAACATAGTCATCTAAATATTTACTTTACCAGCTGATAGAGCTTAACATAGTCATCTGAATATTTACTTTACCAGCTGATAGAGCTCAACATAGTCATCTAAATATTTACTTTACCAGCTGATAGAGCTCAACATAGTCATCTTAATATTTACTTTACCAGCTGATAGAGCTCAACATAGTCATCTAAATATTTACTTTACCAGCTGATCGAGCTCAACATAGTCATCTGAATATTTACTTTACCAACTGATAGAGCTCAACATAGTCATCTGAATATTTACTTTACCAGCTGATAGAGCTCAACATAGTCATCTCAATATTTACTTTACCAGCTGATAGAGCTCAACATAGTCATCTGAATATTTACTTTACCAGCTGATAGAGCTCAACATAGTCATCTGAATATTTACTTTACCAGCTGATCGAGCTCAATTTTAGCTATCTGTATAGTCATCTAAATATTTACTTTACCAGCTGATAGAGCTCAATTTCAGCTGTCTGTATAGTAGTCTAAATATTTACTTTACCAGCTGATAGAGCTCAATTTCAGCTGTCTGTATGTCTTTTAAAATCTATAGCCTATTCTCCTACAATCAATTTTCACCCATATCATGTAGGGCAGTATTAACCCTCTCAAGTATAACCACATACAAGAATGTTCATAATGTCCTGGTGCCTTATTCTGAAAAATTTAATGCAAGCTGATTTCGGAATTCCAGTCATCTGATTGGCCAAGAACTAAAATTGATTTTGAATTTAGTCTTTTTTATCCAATCAAATAACTGTATTTCTTAAGATTTACTTAAAATCTAGTTAAGTTTTCAAGAATGAGAATGGACAAATATTTAGATGACTGTTTTTTGAAAAGAAAGAACTATAGGAGAACTAACCTTATGAAATATTTAAAAATACTTTCATTTCGAAGTTTACAAAACGTAAAAGAAACTACACATGTGACACTGGAGGGAGGGTTTCAGAACTGGAGGACTTGGGCGTTTTTTTAATCTTCACATCATTTTGGCACTTTTCCAACTTGTCATTAATGACGTCAATGTCCGAGGTTGACACGACACTAATCACCGTGCTGACGCTAGTGTCACTGATACGCTGTTCCGAGTCATTTTTCACTTTCGATGAAGCATTATGGACCTCTGTTGTTTTCGTATCAATCATTTTTTCGCGACTGTTCGGCCGCGTGATTGGGTTTCTTCGTTTTTTGGGTTTTTTCGTTTCGTCCAGATGATTGAGTTGAACGTCTGAACCAGAATTAGGTCGACTTCCTGACTTTGGGGAATTCGATATCCAATTATGTTCTTTCTCTCCGTTAACGTTTTCCAATGGACCAGTTTTTCCTCCGATGATTTGCAATTTTCGAGGTTTTTTCTGTTCGTGATTTTGCGTTAAATTGTTGGGAGAGTTTGCATCACGTTTTGGAATGTTGTCTGTCGATTGTGAAGAACTTGTGACATCGGGATTCGTTTTTGAGACGTTGATGTTTCCATCAGAAAGGCTGAGGGCACTGGGACTAATTTTTCTCGTGGGATTTTGAGGTTTAGTTGACTCTTTATTATCCACATCCTTCTCCGTTTTCGAATTCTTGTACTCCGATGGTGGTTTTTCAACTGTCACTTCTGCTTTGATGATATTTTTCGCTGGTTTTTTATTTTGCGAGTCGCCTTCCGTCTTTGATACCGAATTTTCATTAGCTGCCGAGAAATTGATCATGTTTGAGTTATCTTCCTGGGAATGTTCACAATCTTCGTTATGAGATTCAGTGATGGTGGCGTGTTGGATCACGGTGGCTGCTCCCGAGTCACCGTTAATCATGTTGGACAGATTATCTACGGACAGAACAGACGCCAAACTGAAAATAGAAAATGAAGTTTAGTTTTACTTTTTACTGATTACTCTTACTTAGTTGGGCTAATGAAGATGGGCATTGCAGTGTGGGTTAAAAGTAGTACTTCCTTGGTACCTTGTTGGGCTAATGAAGACAGTCAATGCCCTGCAGTTTGCAATGAGGGAATTTGCTATAAGAAAGATGAATTTAGTGGCAGGGTATTTGGGGAATTGAAAATGGGTTTCACGTCTTGTTTTTTACTTGATTCAGCTGATGAAAACAGGCAATACCCTCCTACAGTGTGAAATAAGAGAATTTACTAATAGAAGAATGAAATTAGTGGCAGGGTATTTTTTGGTTAAGGGTTGTAAAATGAAGTAGAACTAACTGTTTTTTTTAACCTGATCGGGCGAAAAAAACCTGCTTGTCTGCCTCTAGCATAAGAAATATAATGATTCAACGCAAGCTATAAACATACTTACCCATGATTATCCTCTCTGAAAAATGAAACAAAAAAGACAATTGAGTGAAAATAGTAGATGAATATTTTGCAATTCTCAATTTCTTTGATTTTTTTTACATTGTAATTTTTCAAGTTTTCTATTTGTCATTTTTATCAAGAAATTGGTCGTACATGTCACAACTTGATTGGTTAAAATTGATAACATTGGAACGTGACTGTGGCAAATAACTGCAGATTGCAATGGAGATATATATGAAAAAAATATCAGGAATATTTGATTTTTAATTGGATTGTGTAAATTAAAGTCTTACCCCAATTCTGGTGGTTCTGGGAGTGGTTTGGTGAAACCTTCTTTACCAGTTAACCAGTAAGTTGGACGTTTTCCTTTTCCCTGAAATAAAGAAAGATCTGAGATGATGTTATCACTGTCTTTTGGGTTCATGCAGGTGCACAGGTGCAGATTTTGCTTGAGACGTAGGCTTATGTGAATCGTTTGCAACCAATGATAATATAAATACTGCCAGCTCCTCTTCAGCTCCCTTGCCATCTGCTCTTCAGCTCTTTTTCAGCTGCTCTTCGGCTCCCTTGCCAGTTGCTCTTCAGCTCTTTTTCAGCTGCTCTTCAGCTCCCTGCCATCTGCTCTTCAGCTCCCTGCCATCTGCTCTTCAGCTCCCTGCCATCTGCTCTTCAGCTCTTTTTCAGCTGCTCTTCGGCTCCCTTGCCAGCTGCTCTGGTCCTTTTCTTCAGCCCTTGCCATCTGCTCTTCAGTTAAAGATGGCTGCTCTTGAGCATCTGCAGAGTTCTCTAAAACTCCTTACAGGGGCTCTTGATCTCCTTTACCACTGCTATTGAGTTTATGCCAGCCCCTACCCACCATTCTTGAGCTCATGCCAAATATTTTTGAGCTCATGCCAGCTTCCATAATTGATAATGATTGGAAAATATGATCTCACACGTACCTTGAGTTCAACCATGCCTCTAAATTCTAATTTATAACCACCTAATACATACAGAACTTCCTTCGTCTCTTCACTCACATGAATACGAGATGCTGAAATTTAACAGAAATATGCCTTAAAACAATGCAAAATAGCTGACAAGTCCACGAGACCCTCTCTTTCAAAAACAAGACTGACCATAAATTGTTTAAAAGATGATAACAACAACTAGGAAAGGTCACATTTTATCAACCTTGCTGGAGTAGATTTGCCACTCCTAAAAAATCCAAGAGGTTCTGCCCTTACCTGTCCCAGTGGATTCCATCCTGGAAGCTGTGTTGACAGTATCTCCAAATAAACAGTATCGAGGCATTGTTAATCCTACAACACCGGCCACACACGAACCTGAAATACACAAAACAAAGTCAGTGGACAAGCACATCTGTTGATTGGCATCAGCTGTTCGAAAGACAAGAAAGAACGAGGCTGGTAAACCAGTAAATATGACCGAAAATGAATTAAATAATATTGGTTTGAAGAATGTACTATGTTTGTATAGATTTATTAACTCGTTTTAAACAATATAGAAGTCACTGAGCAGTTTGACTGAATGCTCAAGTTCTATACAGGCCTGTTTATCATTATAAATATTCTTATTATTATGGTCAGTGACAAGTTAAAATTAGAACGGTGGAAATTGATGTTATCAGCGTACCAGATAGATATTTTTACTATTCCTGTAAATGTCACAAGTAGAGAACATAGCAATTAGGGCTGAATCTCTATAAAAAACAAATTCAGAAAAGCCAGTTTACAATCCCTTTAAAACATTTTGATCATTAGTTCGTTGGTTAAAGTTCACTGATGTCTTAAAAGTACAGATTGGAAATCAATGTATGGAAGATAAAAAGAATGATTATTAAGACAATTATAAAAACAATTTCTGATCCACAATTTTTCTAATCAACTGACTCGGCACCAACACGGACCTAACACAGTCTACAGCCAATAGGCCCTCCATTTAACTCCATTGGATATCAGATTGCAAACTTTCCAATGGGATCAATGACAAATCTAAACTTGGACACCCCCACTTCTTTCTTTGTTCCACATTACAATTGATTTCTTTCTTTCTGTAGAAATCATTACAATAAACGTTCACACATCCCTGGTTAAATGTTTGAATGATATCTTGTTTACTGTTAATTATGAAATTTAAACATGAGAATATATTTAAAATGGCTAATTAATTGTTAAAAGATAAATACTTTGTTTTATTTTGGGTTACTAAGACAACACTCAAAGAAAATATTGAAAAATGTGTGTTGAAATTTCAAATAGCCACAAAACTTTTTTCATCATTTTGTGGCTCAGTGAGTTAGACGCTAACCTGAAGGTCCAAGGTTCAATCCCGGCATAGGTCAAGATAATACCTTCAGATTTTTCAACTTAGGTACCCCTGTCAGTGATGCAGGTAAGAGGGGCTGACATGGAAAAAGCATCTAGTCGTTCGGATGGGACAATAAACCGAGGCTCTGTGTGCTTCAGGCTGTGTACGTTAAAGATCCCTCAACAGTTGGAAATCAAAAAAGAGCAGGCTAATGCGGCTGTCCTGGAAAAATTTCCCTCATTGCACCCTGCATGGTGGTTCCCGTCTTCATTAGCCCACATGGTGCAGAAAAGTAGGACGAAAAACGCCATTCATTTCATTTAATTTTATTTTTTGTACCACTTTAAGTAATTGAGCGTTTTAAATTATTCTTATTGCCAGACTATCTTACATCATGTAGTATGTAATCCTCTGCCTTGAATATGATACTATGTTCCCATTTACAATTTGAAATATAATAACATAGGCCTATATATAATAATAATATTTCTTGTTATTCTGCATGAGTTACATCATACATTTATAATAAGTTATTTAAGTTAAAGAGATTTTAAGAAGGTTTTCTAAAGTTACTATGTATATCAGGGACACTGATAGCATCAATTTGTACCATTTCAATTTACAATCAGACGTCTGTTCTTGCAATTCCACTAAAACTAAGTATTTTAGGCCCTATCTATAAATAGCAGCTTTTGCACTAGAAACATGATAAAACGCTTAATTCTAGTGGAATTACAGGAACCACAAAGATGGTGCAAATTGATGCTATTAGTGTCCCAGAAACACATAAAAAGTTAAGAAAACCGTTTTTACATTTCCCTAAGTAATAAATTGTTATCTCTAATTTTATTTTTCACTCAAGTTCCCCAAGCATTTTAATATCTAACAAAAACTTCTAAAAATATATCAAAAAAATTGATTGCACTCAGACCAGTGTTAAAATTTGCTGGACCTTTAGATTGAATAACAAAATTTGGGGGCTCTGTCAAAGTGCGGGCTTGTTTCACAACACGAAACGAATACATTTACCTGTATTCAAAATATCCCGAACCAGGAAGAAAAAAATTCATTGTTTGATTTTATTTGTGTGATTTAAAAAAACTGTCAAATATTCTAACAAGAGATATTTTTGATGAACATTTGTTGAGTTATTGCCCTTGACTTTGTAAACACGCGTCAAAAGTTGTTTTTTGCCCTTGATTAGAGCTGTGTGATTTAATTGTTTGTTGTATTTGGGTTATTGATATTGATTTTAAAAAATTTTGTGGAATTATTCAGCATAAATAATTTCTTCAATATGAGAAAATTCGTACTTTAGTCACTAAAAACTGTTTTATTATTTCTGACAGCTGCCAGATTAAAAATTGGTGTACCATTATTGGTGTGCTGAAACACTACAATCAACACCACGCGGTCTCTCAGGGGTCAGGAGATTTCAATCAACCTGTTGAAAATTGGAGTCAAGAGAGCAATGAATATGTACCAACAGTTGCAACAAAAGATTTCCAGTATTCAGTATCAAGAGGTAACCTATATATTAATCCATCAGATACTCCGAAAGGCCCCGAAACAACACCAAATGAAAATTGGTCAGAGATAAGGCTAAGTTATTACATTTATTTCAAAAAGTCAGGATGTTCCATAAATCAACTAAAGAAAATTGCTAAAATAAAATTGGGAGACAGATTCAAAGGCTGGTTACCAAAAGAAAACTACTTCCTTGGTCTACAGGATGGTTGTTACTTGGTAGGAATTGAAGGAAAACCAATGAAGCATTGCACAGCCTTATACGTCTCTGGAGGTCAATATGAGTACTTCGATTCTCTGGGTACTCCATCCTATCAAATCCAAGGCAATCTACTTATTAACCAAACGAAGTTCCAACACATAGAATACAAAACATGTGGACTGCACGCTATTTATTACCACCAAAAACGCATCAAGCTTGGTAGTATGGAAGCAGTACAGGAATCATATCCAACAGACAAGGCTGAGCGTCTTTATGAAAATGATCATCATGTTCTAAATGAGATTGATGTAAGTTTTGTCATGGATAAAGAGAAGCCATAGTTGGAATGAAATTAAAAATACTTAACTTAAAAAATACTTAACTTAAAAAATACTTTAAAGTTGTTTAAGAAATTGCTTGTATTATTTAATGAAAAAGTTAATTTTATTCTGTTTTTGTCTCTTCTATAATTAATTTTTTTAAATATTTAATTTGTTCCTCTGTGGAATGAATTTTTACAAAATTAAAATCAGCGTGTTTTTGAAAATATTATTCCTTACATGGACAAGTGTCACTTCAAAAAATTAATTAGTTCTAAATTCTCTTTTAATCAATTTTTATTAAGATATTGATTTTGTAATTTATTAAACTTCTGATATTGTAAAGTCTTTGAATTATAATTATTATATTATTTGCTTGTATTATGATAGTGTGATGTTATAGAAACTAATCAGTTATAGACGTCCCAATATTATCAGAAGATTACTAAATTAATCCACTTATATCTGTTATTATCTTATTCAACTGTCAGCTAGACATCTCATTTTAATTCGCTTTAATCTTGTATATGTTATAATTATCAATTTATATTCTAATTTGATTTATAATTATTATATTATTTGCTTGTATTATTTAATGAAAAATGTATGTTAAAAATGTAATTTTGTAGATTTTGGTGTATAGTTTTCACAAATTTGAGCAAAAAAAATTTCAATTTAAAAAAGAAGCAGAATTTCCCTTTAAAATTCAAACTAAAACCTTCAAAAATATGTATGTCTAAGTTTATATTCTAACAAAAATGGTATATCTTTAGTTTATATTTTTATGTGGGTGTTTGGTGCTAAGTAACATATTATTTGCTTATATAAATTTATGAAAAATGTATGTTACCCTTAAAAATTAGTTTTAAACTTTTCAAAGCTGAAATGAAAAATAAGATGTAGGTTTTGAATTTAGAGAAAATTATTCTGTTTTTGTCTCTTCTATAATTAATTTTTTGAAATATTTAATTTGTTCCCCTGTGGAATGAATTTTTACAAAATTGAAATCAGACTGTTTTTGAAAATATTATTCCTTACATGGACACTTTAAAAAATTAATTAGTTCTAAATTCTCTTTTAATCAATTTTTATTAAGATATTGATTTTATAATTTATTAAAATTCTGATATTATAGTTAAAATGTTTTGGCAATAAAATGGGTTCATACTACAATGAATTTTAATTGATATATCATAGAAGATACTTATTGCCAATCTTGTACTAAGAATTGTGTTGTTGATCAGTTGTTTTGTGTAAGTGGTATCATGAGAAATGACGTTCAGTAGAAAAAGGGAGCCTAATGCAGTTTTCTAAACTTTGTATGTGTATTAGGTACACTGATAGCTTCTATTAGCACTATTCTAATTTTCATTCAGATGTCTGTTCATGCAAAATGCTAAGTTTGAGTGGAATTGCAAGACCCGAACATCTGCATGAAAACTGGAATGGTGTAAATAGAAGCTATAAGTGTCCCTGATACACATACAAAGATTAGAAAATCAGAATGGTGTAAATAGAAGCTATAAGTGTCCCTGATACACATACAAAGACTAAAAAAACCTTTTTACAATCTCTTTAACCCCCAAACTCTGAGGGTATCAAAAAAATGGAAGGAGTCTTACCTGTGTGCAGACCAATACGAAGTCTTAGAGGCACATCATGCATGTGTCGAATTTTAAAGGTACCACACTGACTGAGTAGATCCAGTGCCATGGTGCTTATCTCCCCTGCATGTTTGTATCCAATTCGAGTTGGAAGACCACTGACCACCATGTAAGCATCTCCTATTGTCTCAACCTGCAATGAAATATTCAAATAAAATACCCGGTTTTTCTACACAACACAACAAGCCACGCCACAACACGCCACAAAACGCCACGTCACAACACAACACAACACATTTTATTCAATACTTAAAGACTATGCCTACACAATATACATCATTGTTTAATAACTTAATATAATATGGCAGTGTCTATTCGTACTGCGACCGTACAAAAATGGGCATTAAAAAAACATATGGCCATCCTTACCTAACCCTAACAAAGTCACTTAATATCATTCTTGACAATCAAAATGACTTCATGTTTTTAAAAAAAAAACAAAATTAGCATGCCTATTATGTCCTATCTTATCTGTACCTTTGTTATCAGCCATATAGAACATGCATCGTGACGGTGCAAATAGCCAGTGTAATATAATATATGTAAATGTGATGTAACTCAAGCAGCTCCATCGTGGTCTTTTCTGTATATCACAAGTTGTCATTTTAACGTTCAAATTCTGGACACACATGGATTTGAAGACTTAAATTTCGACGTTGAACTGTGAACACTATTACTGATTGGCTTAGCTAAAAAATTCCCGTTTCTGAGACTAAAGTATGATTGTAAAGGGATTGTTAAGAGGTTTTCTAAATTTGTTGTGTGTATTTGTACCTTTTTGGACTAATGAGCTAAAAATGCAGTATGAAAAATCTTTCCAAAACATTCCTTAATATTTGAAGTGCTTTGCTAATTCCAGATATAAGGATATTTTATTATTTTCTTCTTAATTATATCTCTGTTCACATATCACTTTAATACAGATAATCTCAGACAAGCAGGACAAATATAAACAAGACAAAAACATGAAGGCTTAGCGCGAACCGCCAGCATCAAATTTCAAAGATCTGAAACTTCGAAGACATTTCTGCTAAAGATTTATTAAAAACAAGCAGACGGAAAAAAACACCAGTAATTTAAAACGCATTATCAATCTGGTGAAAGGTCAGAAAATAAAAAATAGCACCAAGCGTCAAATTTCTCGTAAAATGGATGAGACTGACAAAAATGAGCGCCTGGGGGATTATGGGAAGTGTTTTTTATCGTAGACTTAGGGAAGATTATTCAGTAGATGACAAAGAGGTTTGAAAAATAAAATATTACAGGTTAATTATATAGAATCACCAGAATTATAAAACTGCCATTTTGTTTTATTCTTTGTACTTTTGAATTGAGGGATATGACTAGTATGGCACCAGACGGGGTATGCTTACTCTTCTAGACACCAGTTACGTCTGATTTGTAATTGTTTTATATTGTGAACTCTGCAAAATTATTTGTTATTTAGCTGATTTGTAATCAATAGCTAGACTGATTTACAGCTTTCATAATTTCTCCAGAAGGCCTATTTATCATGTACATTAATTATCTAACACGTTTTCCCGTTAACAGACGGTCACAATCGATTATTTCAACATTTTCTTACAAATTCTCACAACCAGGTGAAAAAGAGGTGTGACCTGAAATACGATCTGATTTTTCATGTACATCAAAATTAATCAACCATGCGAGGATGTAAATTTTAAAGGGGGTTGGTAATTAGAGGCTTACGAGTATATTACTATATATTTAACTTGTATTATATTATATCTATTGATATTGTTTGTATTAAAGTAAAAGTGAACAAAAAGACATCGTTCTTATTTAGTGATAGCTTCACAATAACAAAATTTCTCCAAAAGTCATGTCAACTGTGTGTTAAATCATGTTTCTTTAGTAACTGTATGATATTCATATATCTAACATGTAGGTAATATATTAATGGTGTTAAATAGGATTTACGTGAACTGGTCTTTTTTTCCAAAAGTACCATCTGATTTTCCATGTTGAAATTTTGAATAAACAACGAAACAAAAAATAGCATTAATGAATCTAAAAATGCGCTCCTCAACAAATGTTGACTAGAAATTAAATAGGATTTACAAAATAGCGTGAACTGGAAACTAGCCCCACGTTCAGAGAGATGAATTCCTTCTGTGTAAAAATTTAGGGCGTCCTTACCTTATAAACATCATACTGTTCAATCGTGGCATCAAACATAGTATAAAGGTCATTCAAAAGGTCAACCACTTGCATGGGCGTGCTCATAGCAGAGATTGTTGTAAAGCCTACGATATCACTAAAATATATCGTTACTTCGGCAAATGTCTCGGCTTCCACTGGTTTTCCTGATTTCAGATAGTCTGCAACGGCTCTGGAATAAAAGAATAAAAATTAATTTTCAAAATGAACTAAAGAAATAGCTGCACAATATTTTTGACCAATCATAACTTAGTCTCTGAAACGGGAATTTTTTAGCTAAGCCAATCAGTAACAGTGTTCACAGCTCACCATCGAAATTTAAGTCTTCAAATCCATGTGTGTTGAGAATACTGCATTTGAAAGTTAAACAGACGACTCGCCTCTTCTTGAGACTCTTATCATATATAGAAATAGAAAGTAAAATTCCTAGTTTGAGGTATTTTTGAAGGCATTATGTGATTTTCTGGTATTTCAGAAGACTATTTCCATATATTCAAGACCAAAATAACCCCTGAAAATAGCCCATCTGTCACTTCAAAATTTAGACAGATCATGCATAGCGAAGGTTGTAACCAGTGGAAAAAAGAAACATCTGTTTTAATATTTTCACTGTTAAAATAATGCAAAAGAGAACAATCGAGGTGCAAAAAAGAAATATGAAGATATTAAAACAGAACCTGAAACACATTATGACTCAAAGTTATCATTGTACAGCGTAACAACATGTTTCAGGTTCTGTTTTAATGTTTTCTAAGAGAGATTTTATCAAAACACTAAACTTACGGGGGTAACATTCTTGACAGAAGTTGATCAGTTTTTACTTTCTCCTCTTCCAGCTGGACTGTTCTTTCATTTACAATTTCTTCAAGATCATTGGAATATTTCTCCAACATTCGAAACATTGTGTCTACAATATTTGCTTTCCTGCAAAAATATCAGAATTATTTAGAATATGGGTAACTTGTATCGAGAAGTTTAATATGAATTGTGAGATGAAAGAGATTGTAAAGAGGTTTTCGAAATTTTTTCTGTGTATCATGGACACTGATAGCATCAATTTACACCATTCTAATTTTCAATCAGACGTCAGTGGTTGCTGCAATTCTATTAAAACTAAGTGTTTGATGACATCACTAATCGCAAAGGGCGTTATGATATTATGCATTTTTCGCGAGGTCTTCAAACACATAGTTTCAGTTGAATTGCAGGAACCACAGCGTAAGAGTGGAAATTGGAATGGTGCATATGGAATGTGTCCCTGATATATAAAAAATATTTAGATAACCTCTGTTCAATCCCTTTAAGAAATGAACTAAAATATCATGACTATTGGCAATAATAGACAAAAAAACAAAGAATATTTCTGTAGAAATCTAAGATTTGGAATAAAATTCTTCCTATTAAAGTTCCATCCATCCATAAACTGATTTTATTTCTACATCATTTCATATGTTAGTTTCTTCTTGCCGATAAAAAACAATAATTCAATGGGAACTTAACAAATTTAAAACAATTTGAATTTATACGATTGTTCAAATTAGACACCTATTACTGCAAATTCTCCCAGCATGATTTCCAGCAATTATGATAGAAATTGTTTTTGTCACGATTTGATTGTAACCTTTATTTCATCTGATTGAAGTATCTTCCAAGCTTGGAATTGTTTGAAGTTTAAAGCAGGAACAGGCTTAAAGGAAATTGTATTCTACTTTCGGTTTTTTTTTTGTCCTTTTGTTCTTGATACTGCTACGTTTGCTGTTATTTTTGGAATGAAATGTTGAAAAGTTTGGGTCTTTGGTCTTTTTGTGACCTTGACCTTGAATGACATTTTTATTTTACAAACTGTTGTTTTTAGAGAAGAAATCTTAAACAATATTTAAATCTTTTAGCTCTTTATGTTATGTGTTATTTTCATTATAGGTTTACTGCACATGCCTTCTTCATATTAGTTTTAAGGGCTGTTATTTCAGTGGTCAGGTGTGTTGCCTTTCGGCAATCCTCAGCAGTTTTCGTAAGCTGAATCTGACTGGGAAATCAATGGTGAATTTCGTTGTGTCTTGAGCGAAACTCTTTACTTCTGGTATTTACCAGTGATTTGTCTATTGATAGTAACATTGCGAATTAGATATTGTCCTTCAGACTTTGGGAGATAGACCAATGCATTTAACTAATGCATTTAATGTTTGTGTCTAAATTGTGTCTGCATTGTGTCTATATTGTGTCTACATTGTGTCTATGTTGTGTTTATATTGTGTCTACTTTGTGTCTGTATTGTGTCTACATTGTGTCTATATTGTGTCTATTATCCAATTGTCAGTTTGGATTCGTATCTTACGCATTTTTTGTTTTAATTGACTTTCTTTACAAACACTTGTAGTCCTTAACGACCAGCCTCTAATATTTAAATTACCAGTCATGTGATCACGTGTCAACATTGACAGTTCCGGTAAAAAAAATGGCCATTCATTACCGTGATATGTTGCAGAGCGCTAGCATTATTTTCATGGAGGCCGTTTGATGTGGTGCTAAGCAAGGTATGCTTACTCTTCAAAAACTGAAATTGACTGCAATGTTAGACCTCAGGGTAAAATAGATCTACATTAGAAGAAAAGAGGGAAAAATTAACCACACTGTTAGCATCACTAATTGAAAGAAATGTAAATATTTGTAGAAGAGTTGTTAGCAATGTTGATACAAGGTTCATAACCCAATAATTATCGTTAGTGACAGTCATTAGTTGACACGTGCCGCTCTTTCTCATGGCTTGAGGCTAATCCAGAGATCTTGACAATGAGGGAAATTTTGCTCTTAGGCTAAACAAACAGCTCAGTATTGATCGTATTCTAAGATATGATGCTGTATGCAATGGAGGAAAGTTTGACAAAGTCTACATATATCTTGAGGTTTAATAGTGGGTTAGAGAGTTAGTTCTTTACATGACGTCATTTACTTGGTTACGTCCAGCAAATGGCTGCCCAGTTTCGATCTCAAGATAAGTTGTCATCTTTGTAAAATATAGTTGTTTCTTTCAATTCTTTTCTATTTTTTTCTTTAAAAGGATTGTAAAGAGGATTTTAAATTTTTTATGTGTATTAGGGACACTAATAACATCAATTTGCGCCAATCCCATATTCAATCAGATGTCTGTGGTTCTAGCAATTTTACTAAAACCAAGTGTTTTATGACGTCACCCCCGCAAAGGTGATACAAGCAAATTTTGTGGGGGGTGACGTCTGATTGAAAATTGGAATGGTGCAAATTGATGACATCATTGTCCCCGATACACATACAAAATTTAGAAAAACCTCTTTACAATCACTTTAAGTGATGGTCTTTAGTTTACAGATAGACTCTGAGGTTTGAGGCTAAACAACAAGGAAAGAGGTAGATAGTCTATTAATTCTAGGTTAATGCTCCAGAGACCTTCACCAAGCTTCACCACAGATATTGTCCAATGAGGGAAATTTTTCCCAAACTATTCCATAGTCAGTCTTTGGACTACCTGTCTTATTAAAATTAGACCTAACTTCCGTTTGTATTTTATTAGTTTCGTTTCGGATGTTTTATTAGCTATTAGCTTTGTACGTAATCACTACAGTAAGGTCTAACACTGTCCTTCTTGACTTTTCATTCTGTTAACCTTTGCTTGACCTCTGTTTTAACCAATCATGTGGCTGCCCTTTCCAGCAACAGGATAATGTGACGCTAACAATAGGTGCATTCCGCGGCGTATTAGACAAGCTCATACTTTTCAAATCAACATTCCTGCATTCTTCATTTTCTTAAGTTAAATGACCAAAATAAAACAAAGTCAGACCATTGAAAACAGATATTCATTATTCCATCTTTAATCTCTCATCTTTAACGTTAAACTAACTGACCGTAAACACGATAACAGAACCAATTAGAGTTGATTTTGATTGGCTGACTGATGGAGATGATGGTATATTTTGATTGGAGGGAATTTAGCTGAAAGTTATCAGACCTCTTAATGATTTGATGGCCATGTTAAATTGATAAATCTTACGTATTTATAGATCTGATATCTGATGGCAGACGGACACAAGAAAAAAACTGTCATATAGGAATTAGTATCAAATGTACTGATAGTCAAAGAACATGGCGTCAGTGGCGTAGTGAGGAATTAATTGACAGGGATGGGAGTTGGGGCATCCAAGCAACCCAACGTCCCTTTGCAGATGTTAGAGGGCACCCACGGCCTCAAGGAAGTATGACGAATGGGGGCGTTTTTTGGACACTCCGTTGAGGGATAAGAAATTATAAAAAGAAAAAATGTCTTACTTTCCACTGGTAATTCTTTTAAATTGGTCGTAAATCTCTTCAATACCAGGTCTCATGTCAGGTAACTCTGACCAACACTGTTTCATCAATTGAATATAGGGGGGTGGGGCAAACTGGGGGGATACGGACGGTCTGATCAATGGAGGGGGCTTCTTTAATTTCTTGATAATTTCTGAAATAGATAAAGGATTTCTATGTCACAAAGTCTTTAAAGATGGGTTCCCTTATTTATATTTATGAAAATGAAAATGCTAATACTTATATGAATAGAAAGTAGAGGTGTTCTAATGACTTAGAAAAATACCAGTTTGTCTCACATGTCCATAATTAATTCATAATTAGCTAAATTAGAAGAGAATTACCAGCAGAATTCCAATGAGTGACCGATCAAGAAAGATCAAAAAGTCTTTTTTTGTTTATCCAGACTGTACATATATACTGGACATACTCTTAATTATATACAATAATTTGTGGCTTCGGTTTTCCATTCCCAGTTTAAGACATACCTTGGGGGGTGAGTCCAGTAGAACTGTAGGGGTCACTTCTTAACGCTACTTCCTGCATAATGATAGCAAAACTAAAAACATCGCCCTTTTCAGAACCTTTATGGATCTGGTTGTTAACTTCTCGCAGGAATTCTGGCGCTGTCCAAACCAAATCTAAAAAAATGATACAATGAATTAAAATTGGATATTTAAAGGGACAGGTTGGCCATTTTATTTGACCAATCATATTTTAGTCTCAAAAACTGGAATATTTTAGCTGAGCTAATCAGTAGTGTTCATGGCTCACCGTCAAATTTGAGCCTTCAAATCCATGTGTGTCCAGAATTATCTGTGTTTGAATGTTAAAATGACAACTCATCAATTTAAGATACTCTGTGATATATAGACATATATAGAAATGGTGAGTAAAATTCCTACTATGAAGTATTTTTAACGGAATTTGTGATTTTCGTACATTTCTAGTTCTTCTTAAGACTATTTAGATATATTCAAGACTCAAATCAACTCCCCAAAATGCCTAATCTGTCCCTTTAAAAATCAAGTGATTTGAAGACCTAGACGATGAAATAAGATTTTTAAATCTTTGATGATTATCAGATCAATGGTAATTTTCTATGAATGGAGTATTTATTTAAATAGGTATATCATAGACTTCTGATATATATATTGATCTAAATAAGGCAATTAGACAGATAAAAACGTCTAGCTGGTCATTCAGCTTATAAAGTTAAAATTGAGATGATCTCTGTTCCGTTCCAAATCACATTCAATAAGCCAGGTGTTTTCAACCTGTTTCTATTAGCCCTTTAATGAGCCTTGATCGATTGCATTACCTTCTTCTCCCTACTCTAGTCAAGCTGGTTGTTTGGCTCTAAAGCAAAGGGAGCCCAGTGGCTCAGTGATTTCTCAGTTGGAAATCAAATAGAGTAGGATATGCCTCTGTCTTGGCAAAACTTCCCTCATTGTACACTGCATGGCTTTACTCGTCTTCATTATCCCAAATAGGTGTAGAAGAATTAAGCAAAAATTCAGATGACTAGTTCCCTAGTTTCCCAACCCACCCCCGTGTCAAAACCCACTAAGTCAATGACATAAAGTGAGAAATTTATCTAATAGCTATCCAGTTTTATGTATTAATTATCTTATTGAAATGTTTTTGTTTGAACAACAAGTGAAACAGCTCCGCCATTTTCATGTTTTGTTGAAACAGACTGTAAGTAACAAAACAAAAGCAGGGAATCGAGCCATGAACATTGAATGGTGCAGGGAGACACGCCTTAGACAAGCCATGAACGTTGAATGGTGCAGAGAGACAAGCCTTAGACAAGCCATGAATGTTGAATGGTTTAAATCATGACCAATTCCTCAGGACTATAGCTATTTTTATAAAATTAGAAAACAGAAAAGCAGACCCGATGAAATAACCCACAAATAAAAGGAAACAAAATACTTGGTGGTATAATCAGAATTCCAGAGCAGAAGAACAAATTAATGAAAGAGAGCATTAACCCATAGAAAAAAAAAAGAAACAAAATTTCTATCAGGTCAAGACCTATATTTACAAAATCAGAACAAATGAATGAGTGGATAAACCCTCAGAAAAAAATGAAACAAAATTTCTATCATGTCAAGACCTATATTTACAAAATCAGAACAAATGAATGAGTGGATAAACCCTCAGAAAAAAATGAAACAAAATCAGAGAGGTCAAAACCTATAGTTACAAAATCAGAACAAATGAATGAGTGGATAAACCCTGAGAAAAAAATGAAACAAAATCAGAGAGGTCAAAACCTATAGTGATAAAATGAGAATGCGGAAGCAGACAGGATGATTAAATAGAACTGTCTAACTAACGTGGCAAGAATAACCAAACTTAACTCCGAACGAACGACATCAATATTATATTCCTGTCAGGGACCGCTAATAATATCATACAGTTCATCGGCACATCTCGCTACCTGTCAATCATCACTGAACTTTGACCTTAACAGACAATGTGTTTTATGACATGCTTAAGAATTTCAGTGGATGAAGAAAAGGATTTTTTCTTTGCCAAAATATGTCCAGTGTCCAAGAGTTAAAAGAATTTAAAAGGAATGTAAAGAGGTTTTCTAAATGTTTTATATTTTTAAGGGCCACTTATAGCCTTGATTTTCAGACATCCGTGGTTCTAGCAATTCCACTTAAACTAAGCATTTTATGATGTCACTAGTCTCAAAAATCATCGTAATATCTGATCTGATCGTAAGTACAATAGACGTCTAAGAGAAAATTGTAATGGTGCAAATGAATTCTGTTCATGTCCGCGATATTTAGTCATGCTTTCTCTTTGCCAACTAAGCCCCCTTTTCAGAGAGTCCACATAGTTAATATTGTTTATTTGGTATATTTATTTGAGAAAGAATTAGGTCAAACTGCGGAGTCTGTTATTACAAGAATGATGCAGGCAAGGGAAATAAATGACGTAAGTTAATTTGAGTGAGTTGGTTCGGAACTAATTGAAGTCTTCATATTCACTTAACATCCAATCAATACTCAAATATAGACAGGGTGGTACAAGACATTTGAGAAAATTAATACGATTTTCATACGATGTACCTTTTAGACAGAAAGAAACGTCTATTTCTAAGAAGGATAGCAACTAAGGTTCACCAGGTACCCTTTCTACCAGCTAGTCTATGGTTAAACCTGGGTCATTGATCTTTCCTGAAGTGCACGACTAGAATGACGAGGAAAAAGACTTATTCAAAGTCGGTAGACTTACACTGACTGAGATTAGAAACCACTGACCACCATTGTTTGACCTCAACAAAAAAAAAAAGATTCCACAGTTCTAGCAGATTTTAAACCAAAAAGCTGAGAAAGAAAAGTGTAAAAATTGAAAATTCAAACAAACCTGTGGCTGACTGTTCTCTAGTTTGTCTGACCCGGCCGAGGAAACCGGGCAACCCGTAATCGGTAAGTTTTAATACCCAGCGGCTGTCTATAACACAATTGGTTGATTTTAGGTAACCATGGTATTTTAAACTACTGTTGTGAAGGTAACGTAATCCCTGAAACAATAAAAAATCATTTTAAAGGAGAGCTCAGATCGACAGGCGATTCACAGCATTTCATTGGACTGAATCATAGCAGATTGTAACCAATCAGATTCAAGATAAGATTTAGAACATGTGCTGACATGCTGATAAAGGTTATGTTAAAACCATTGTTTGTGTTATCAGGTCAGAACCGAATCCAGATATTGATCAGAATCAAACAGATGTGACCTGTTGCTAGAAGTCGTAGAAAACCCAGTGTCAGTCACAAGGTTGACCCCTTAATACATATAGGAGGGTGGGGCTTGAAGAAAAGACAACCTCAAACATAGGGTGAGAAAAGAAAGGGTCAATTGATCACTCCTGTACATATACAATAGAGTGGGGCTTGAAGTTTTGAAAACAGAGAGGGGGGTAGGGGGAGGGGGGGTTGGAAGAAGGGGTATGACTTACCCTGACTAAATCTATAATAAGGCTGTATTTAAAATCCCAGTCAAGTTTGATGTCTTCATTTCTAATGACATCCTGAAAAATACGTCAATTAAACATTAGTTTTGTGAACTCTCTGAAATGTATGTCGAGTTGTAAAACCCAAGCACCAAATATACATTAATACCTATGTGGACTCTCTGAAAGAAACATTATTAGCTATGTGGAAGCTCTGAAAGAGATGTCAAGTTGACAGACCTAAATACCAAAAAAACATTATTAGCTATGTGGACTCTCTGAAAGAGATGTTGAATTGACAAACCTAAATAACAAAAAAAACATTGTTAGCTATGTGGACTCTCTGAAAGGGATGTCACTGAAATGATGAGGAAATATGACTTATTCAAAGACTTTTACCCACTGACCTACTTCCTCATTTAGGAAGGAGATTAAAAAGAGGTTTTCTAAAATTTGTATGTGTCTCAGGGACATATATGATAGCATCAATTTACACCATTCCAATTTTCAATCAGACGTCTGCAATTCCACTATCACTAAGTGTTTTAAGATGTCACTTATGGCAAAATATTCTTTATCACCTAAGGACTTCTTAGTCACAGTGACATCATAAAACGCTTAGTTTTAGTGGAATTGCAGATATCTGATTGAAAATTGGAATAGTACAAATTGATGCTATCAATGTCCCCAATATACATAAAAAATTTAGAAAACCTCTTTACAATCTCTTTAAGGCCATTCACCATTTTATGCTTCGTAAAATAAATTCAAAACAAAAGTATTAGTTGTATTAGTTTTTACATTTCATAAATTTTAAGGGAAAATCGTCAAATTAAATCATAGTGGATACTGAACGATATTCAAATTAGACCGAATTACCATACTGTAACGGAACGATCGTAGCTTTAAGATATAATTAGAATTCATGAATATTCATTAGTTTAAATGAGATAGTCTGAAATCTGCTGACGTGGAAAATTGGTTTAAAGTTACTTTAATAGCCATCGAAGCAGAAGAAGCACTTGACTGTTATTCAAGCTATGCTTCATTACACCCTATAGGCTGGCTTCCTTATTTTTTCCCCTTACAAATGCCAAATTCTAGATGTCCTGATGAGGATTGTGTATCTGAAACATGTGTCAGCAGTATGAGATGAGCTCTAGTCAATTAAATGAAAGACCTCCATAAAACTCCATATAAATTCTAACTAAAGTAGTGAGTCCATAAAGATATCCATTTAAAATTTTGTATTCTGAATAATTTTTTCACTCGTTTGAATTTTTTTAAGACATTATAAGTCTTCTTTCTTGTCTTCAAATGAAAATGAAGTTGACAGCTAGTGATTTTGCTCAATTAAATACTTTTATTCAATTTTCCTTCAGCTGAATTCACCAACAATCTTTTTCTTGAATCTCTTTTCCTAAAAAATTACCCAATTATTTTCAATTTAAAGTTTTCATTCTAATTTCAGCTGATATTAACATTCCTACAACAGTTTGTCTGTTTTTCATCATAATGTTCTGACAATTATGGTTAAACTAGAACACTAGTACATATTTATTATCATATAATAATATAAGCTGTTATACATATAAAATTATTACTGAGAGGTTTAACCAAGGATCAGTGGTAGAGCCAAAGGGGGCGCAGAGTTTTTGGGCAAAAATCTCAAACCTAGGTTAAAGATTCAGGCAATCTCAGATATCTCGCCCCCCCCACGGATGAAAACCTGGCTCCGCCACTGCCAAAGATCAGCTGGTAGACAGGATCCTCGTCAACCTGAACAGCCCACTTGGAAATACCCCCAAAAGTGATTTAGGCTGACTCTGTGACTAAGGCCAGCTCCTATCCTCCCCCGGGAACTTATCCCACCCCACCACAAGATAATCCAAAAAGTATATTCGTTTTACCTGTAAACTACCCCTACTACAGTACTCTGTTACTAAGGCCATCTCTTATTCATATCTCCCCACCCCACACAGACAATAACACCTTACCTGTAAACTACCCCTACTACAGTATTCTGTAACTAAGGCGGGTTTAACAGGATCTACCAGTAAACCCACATACGGGTTGATATTTTCATGACGGAGATCTCGCATCTGAAATACACAAAAATTAAAAATAATGAAAAGGATTCTTTATGACAAAAATTTACTGCAAGATTTTGGGGCTTGTAAAGGTTGTAAGGTGCTGAAATAACTGTGATAAATCATATTTGGCGATAAGTGACATCATCACTTTGATTTAGTGGAATTGCAGGAACCACAGACGTCTGATTGAACAACAATCGGACGATGTCAAAAGAAACAAAGGCCCATTCTAAAAACAATGTTTTATTCGACTATATCAGTGAAAGTGGAAGCATGCAGGACGCGTTTTCTCTTTCGAATGCTCTTCACACTAGAAGGTACACTCTTCACACTATTGGTTCCTCCCCATTTTAATTCAATACTCTCTATTTAGTTCATAAGATGTTGGTTACAGAAACAGAAAACGACAAACTTCATTCACAATAATATATATAATCTATTATTTTAGAATTATTTCATTTGTAATTAGTGTGACTTATGAATTTAATTTTATAAGTTTATAAAAAATCGCGTTGATCTAGCTGAATTTTCACCTCGGCCTGTGCTTTCGTAATTTTAATTATATACAGTTGTTACAACCACTCTTGACACTAGGAGGTAAGATGTGTTTGATACCTGCACTGAAACAACGTGACCTCTCGTGGTTTCACTCGAATAATAATTTGATCACAAAAACTATTTAACACAATAAATGATAAACTGAACTTTAGATATAGTGTGACATCATCAGACACATTAGATTCATCCCATGGTCTCAGACATTTCAAAATTTCAAACAAAGCTTATTATTGTCACGCGGAAATTAATATAAATTTGGAAAATTTGGTCACGCGAAAAAACATGTTCTGAACCGCCATTAATCAGAGTTTCAACCAAAGAAAAATTTGGTCTGAAATGATGAATGATCTTTTTTTCTTTCAATTTTTGTTTATTTTCATATAATTAGTTCAATTTTAGAAGAAAAAAACATCAATTTTTTTTCCAATAATTAGTCAAATTTGTCTTTAAGATCTCGAGATCGTGTTGTCATGACAAACAACTTAGCTATGACCTTCAAAAGAGGAAGAGGTAAAATGGCCGTCAAGTGAGGTCCTCATGACCCAAGGATTTTCAATTCTAATCTTTTTATGGTATTTTAGAAGCCTAACTTAGAGAAATAAAACAATTAATATGAAGCAACTTCTAGAATATTTAAAACTTTCAACGTTTCAATGTGGTACATACACTGTCACCAGGAATATCATTTCTAGTTCCTAGTTGAAATCACATGAAGCATGTTGATTTTACAATATCCAGGGTCAAAAAACATTAATATAATTAAACTGTATACTCTGAACTCTGAAATCATGTAGTCCTTATTGTTAAAAAGGTTAAAATTTTCTCCAAGGTCAAACACGTTTTTTGCTAGTAGATGTTGAAATTGGAAATCGAAGGCTTGTCACTCGGAGAGCGTTACGAGAAATTGGAGATCTCTTTGAGATTGATGAACGAGGTGTTTTTTTTCTCTCTCTTCAGATCTGTGAATGGAATTTAATTTCACTTGACCTTTAAAATTTTAAAAGATGTTAGCCAACCAAGAGGGGGTAAAGGATAGGATGAAGTGTGATTTATCATGATAATCACAGTGAGCCAACCTATAGGGTGTAAAGCACTGGCACAGGCATCAGAATTATTCTTACCTTGAGGACGATTTAAACTCTTGGCACCTTATCGCTAATCTATAAGGACTGAGCTATTTCACTGTCCTTGCAGAGGACAATCCAACTTGCTACTGCCTGAGCTATTCAACTGTCCTAGCAGATGACAATCCAACTTGCTACAGACTCAGCTATTCAACTGTCCTAGCAGAAGACAATCCAACTAACTACTGACTGAGCTACTCCATTGTCCTAGCAGACGACAATCCAACTCGCTACAGACTGAGCTATTTCACTGTCCTAGCAGATGACAATCCAACTCGCTACAGACTCAGCTATTCCACTGTCCTAGCAGATGACAATCCAACTTGCTACAGACTGAGCTATTTCACTGTCCTAGCAGACGACAATCCAACTCGCTACAGACTCAGCTATTCCACTGTCCTAGCAGATGACAATCCAACTCGCTACAGACTGAGCTATTCCACTGTCCTAGCAGACGACAATCCAACTTGCTACAGACTGAGCTATTTCACTGTCCTAGCAGATGACAATCCAACTCGCTACAGACTCAGCTATTCCACTGTCCTAGCAGACGACAATCCAACTCGCTACAGACTGAGCTATTTCACTGTCCTAGCAGACGACAATCCAACTCGCTACAGACTGAGCTATTTCACTGTCCAAGCAGATGACAATCCAACTCGCTACAGACTGAGCTATTCCACTGTCCTAGCAGATGACAATCCAACTCGCTACAGACTGAGCTATTTCACTGTGCTAGCAGACGACAATCCAACTTGCTACAGACTCAGCTATTCAACTGTTCTAGCAGAAGACAATCCAACTAACTACTGACTGAGCTATTCCACTGTCCTAGCAAAAGACAATCCAACTAACTACTGACTGAGCTACTCCACTGTCCTAGCAGACGACAATCCAACTTGGTACAGACTGAGCTATTCCACTGTCCTAGCAGAAGACAATCCAACTAACTACTGACTGAGCTACTCCACTGTCCTAGCAGAAGACAATCCAACTAACTACTGACTGAGCTACTCAACTGTCCTAGCAGACGACAATCCAACTCGCTACAGACTGAGCTATTTCACTGTCCTAGCAGATGACAATCCAACTCGCTACAGACTCAGCTATTCCACTGTCCTAGCAGACGACAATCCAACTCGCTAAAGACTGAGCTATTTCACTGTCCTAGCAGACGACAATCCAACTTGCTACAGACTGAGCTATTTCACTGTCCTAGCAGATGACAATCCAACTCGCTACAGACTCAGCTATTCCACTGTCCTAGCAGACGACAATCCAACTCGCTACAGACTGAGCTATTTCACTGTCCTAGCAGACGACAATCCAACTTGCTACAGACTGAGCTATTCAACTGTCCTAGCAGAAGACAATCCAACTAACTACTGACTGAGCTACTCCACTGTCCTAGCAGACGACAATCCAACTCGCTACAGACTGAGCTATTTCACTGTCCTAGCAGATGACAATCCAATTCGCTACAGACTGAGCTATTTCACTGTGCTAGCAGATGACAATCCAACTCGCTACAAACTGAGCTATTCCACTGTCCTAGCAGATGACAATCCAACTCGCTACAGACTGAGCTATTCCACTGTCCAAGCAGATGACAATCCAACTCGCTACAGACTGAGCTATTCCACTGTCCTAGCAGACAACAATCCAACTTGCTACAGACTGAGCTATTCCACTGTCCTAGTAGACAACAATCCAACTCGCTACAGACTGAGCTATTCTACTGTCCTAGCAGACAACAATCCAACTCGCTACAGACTGAGCTATTCCACTGTCCTAGCAGAGGACAATCCAACTAACTACTGACTGAGCTGGCAGACGACAATCCAATTTGCTACCAACTGAGCTAGTCTACTGCCACAAAAAGACAGTGTTCCACTCCAGCGTTACGGGAACGTCACACAATTAAAAAGTTGATGTTCAAATTCACTTACCATTTTAATATAGTCCATCATTCTTGATTTCATCTCAAAACCCTTGGTACTTAATTCTTTAACATGTACCAGATCACCCTGAAAATAGAGCAAGAGATGTATAATTAATCAAAATTACTGGAATTTACTGAAAAGGCACCCAGGTGGCAATAAATCCGTTCTGCAGTTTATTAAGACAAATGTCTTGCAGAGTCCTGACAATTCATTGTTGTACTTTGAGTACATCTGTAGTGTACAATCTTGTCTTAAACTATTCATTACATGTTTCTACTGTGTTTTACTGTAGCAGGTAAAATGCCTTCTAATTTTCAACTCTGTTTCCCCCTGTCAGTGATGCAGGTAAGAGGGGCTGACATGGAAAAAGTATCTAGTCGTCAGATTGAACAATAAACCGTGGCCCCGTGTGCTACAGCCTCAACAGTTGTAAATCAAAAAAGAGCAGGCTAATGCGGCTGTTCTGGCAAAATTCCCATCATTGCACCCTGCATGGTGGTACAAGTCTTCATTAGCCCACATGGTGCAGAAGAGTAGGACGTAAAACTCTATTCATTTCATTTGCAGTTTCATTTTGTAGCAGGTAAAGTTTATATAAGGGGACTGAGGTAATAAATATTCATGAGATCATGTGATTTTAAAACTGGCCAATAAACATGCTTCTACAAGAATATTATATGAGTATGGAAAACCTGAATAAAGAATATTTCATTTTGATTCGTTGAAAAAACTCATCTTTTATGAAGCTATTTGGATAAAGAGAACCACTGTCCCATCTATTGAGTGATACGGTGGTGTGGTTGCAATCCTGCTGGGGATAATTTTTTCCAGCCCATCTCCTGCATTCTTGAGTCAAAAATTCTTTAAAAATAAGACTTTTCATCAAGCATATATTCCCAAAATTTGTTCGGACTTTACCCTTTTTGCAGTTACAGTTTTAATTGTGCCTTAATCCTCTCCATTAAGAATGATCGAATGAATTTAAATATTTCTGACTGCGTAAAATCTTTCAATTAATTATCATGTTTAGATTTAATCCCATAATGCTCTTCTAATCCTGATTAAATGTTATATCCACGAATCGTATCGATTTTCTACGTGTCAGGAAAAAAAAAAACGTCTAAAACTGTTAAAGTCGAGATTATTCAAGCAAATATTTGTAATTATTGAAAATTTGACGTCCATCGAGAAATCTGAATAACAGGTTTTAGGGTTAGATTTAATAAACTTAATTTCAATTTCTTTATAAACCTGCGTTAAATTTACGTCATTGGTTAAATATTTAAAATACGATCTTATAAGAAACTTGGAGTTTTATATATTTGCATTTCTGCTCCAGATTAGACTTATAGAGATAGAAAAACTCATGCAGTGTGCAATGAGGGAAGTACTTTTCTCTGATATGTCTAAAGTCTTGTATCAGAAACTATCCTGATGAGGATTGTGTATCTGAAACATGTGTCAGCAGTATGAGATGAACTATAGTCAATTAGCTAGCATTAGAAAGTTAACCTCCATTTCTAAAACTAGCTGTCCTGATGAGGATTGTATGTCTGAAGCATGTTAGCAGTAAGAGATAAGCTCTAGCCAATTAGCTAACATTAAGTCCTATATTAGAAAGTTAGCCTTCATTTCTAAAACTAGCTGTCCTGATGAGGATTGTGTATCTGAAACATGTGTCAGCAGTATGAGATGAACTCTATTCAATTAGCTAGCATTAAGTTCTATATTGAAAGTTAACCTCTATTTCTAAAACTAGCTGTCCTGATGAGGATTGTGTATCTGAAACATGTGTCAGCAGTATGAGAAGAGCTCTAGTCAATTAGCTAGCATTAAGTTCTATATTGAAAGTTAACCTCTATTTCTAAAACTAGCTGTCCTGATGAAGATTGTGTATCTGAAACAGTTCTCAGCAATATGATAAAAATGAGAGTCGAAAGCATTAAACGACTATCCATGAACGAAGTCCACAAAATTAAAAGAAATCAAAATGTTGGTCAGAATGTGATTTCAAACAAAATTGAAATCCCTCGTAAAGTAATTTATCGAGTTGGTCAGGTTGAAATTGTCCAGGAACATCACTATGTAATTATTGACCAATCAGATTCTAATGGATCAACGACACCGAACTTTATTATATCCCACAATTCAATTGATGGTTATCGTAGATTTTAATGGTTTTCGCTAATGATGTCTGGGCCATTCGAAAGAAATTAGTCGAGTAAAACATCGCTTTGAACGAGTTAAACCAGAAGTTATTTTTGGTACTCAAATTCACTCTCCTTTCTTCGTCTTTTAACAAAATTTGTCTGACGCAACTTTACCTAATCTCAGAAATAAAGGTTTTCTTGAAAAAGGCTTTTTGATTCCGTACAATGACACGATCGGTAACTAGGGTTTTTTTTCTATGAAGTAAAAACCCTGATATCTTTTAAATCAGTTAGTTCTTTCATTACAAAACTTTCAGTAAACTTCAAACAGTGTCTACCTTTATTGTCATTTTATCTTTTGAATTTTTTGAAAAAAATTCTTCTTTGTGAAATTCTGCTTTGATGCCTCTGTACAATACTTTGAGAGTTTTCATTAGACTTCTGCCAAGACTGAAACTGAGGGTTTGACAGATGGTGCCAGCTTTTGTCAGAAAACAGTATTCTTTAAACTAGTCTGAAACTCAATGCAACCTCTGATAGTAATGATTGACAGATGTCTGTCAGACATGTCAGAAAAACTAACTCTATATTTTTTAGCTACAGTCTGACAGATGTCGACCAGACATGTCAGTAAAACATCTCATTGACTCTTATTTAGTCTCTGACAGATATTGGCTAGTTTTCTCTGAAACACTGACTACAAAGATTTCCTTTATCTATATTCTAACTAGTTTGAAATTTTTTACTATCGAACAAAAATAATGTCTGTTGTTTCTTTAATTATTTCTGTGATCTTGACAAATTTCTTCTTCTACAAGGTGTTACTTATCCAATTTGATTCATCATGTCAAAATATATCCCTAGTTCCCAACCTGGGGTGTTTTCGGGGGTGTGGGTCTAGGGTGTCAGGGGTGTGGTCAACTGGTGTAGGAGATGATTTGTTTTGAATTGAGAGAGCACCTCACATCATCACATGCTGGAAATGTGGATGAAACAAATTTTTGGGGGTGTGGAAGGTCCAGGCGATTGCTCCAGGGGTGTGAAAGGTCCAGGTGATTGCTCCAGGGGTGTGAAAGGTCCAGGTGATTGCTCTAGTGTTGTGAAAGGTCCAGGCGATTGCTCTAGTGTTGTGGAAGGTCCAGGCGATTGCTCCAGGGGTGTGAAAGGTCCAGGTGATTGCTCTAGGGTTGTGGAAGGTCCAGGCGATTGCTCCAGGGGTGTGAAAGGTTCAGGTGATTGCTCCAGGGGTGTGAAAGGTCCAGGTGATTGCTCCAGGGGTGTGAAAGGTCCAGGTGATTGCTCCAGGGGTGTGAAAGGTCCAGGTGATTGCTGTAGGGGTGTGAAGGCTGAAATAGTAAGTGTTCGTAATTAGTCTTAATGCTCAGCTCAGTTACCATATAAAACCTGTCAAACCAACTTTTGAAAAAAGTTACCTCTATAGCACACTGCAGGGCATTACTCCTGTAATTTAGCTTGTGTTATACATGAAAGTTGATATGGAACTACCAGAGTTCAAGCTGTCAAACCAAATTCAATATATTTTGAAAATTGGTCGTAAATAAGACTAATAAAGACCTGTCCTAGATCTAATTTCTTTAGAACCTGTCAATTCCCTGACCGCCTGACCAGCTTTCACTTCCTGTATCTCTCTTGACCGCCTTCCTGTCAGAATTTACGACTTCTTTACTGTTGAACTGACCACAAATCATTTGTACTTTTCTTTCATTGAGAACAGGCTGTAGCAAACTCAGTTAGGGCGTTAGAATCTTTATAAGGCGCCATTTCATGAAAATTTGGCGAAGGGAGTCAGTTATTTGTACTTTTCTTTCAATGACAGAGGGCTGTAGCAAACTCAGTTAGGGTGTTAAAATCTTTAGATGATGTCATCTGCTTGGTTTTGTCAAAATGATTTTTAAACTAACCACAAATAATTTGTAGGCTGCTTTTCTTTCATTGGGAGAGGGCTGTGGCAAACTCAGTTAGGGTGTTAAAATCCTTATAAAGCGCCATTTCATTGAAAAAATTTAGGGAAGGGAGTCAATCATTTGTACTGTTCTTTCATTGAGAGAGGTCTGTAGCACTCAGTCCCCAATAATTGTTAAAGTACTGAAAAACTCAAATGAAATAGACACAAAAATTTGCTCACAAAACTGATTCTGTTTGAAATTGAAAATGTCAAGTGAAAGAGAAATGACTTCCCAACATTTCAAAAAGACATAAATTTTGTTTTTCTTCAGCACCGTGTTCCACAAAATAATCTTTAAGTTGGAAGTAAATTCACCTTCATTATCCAAGCAGATCACTGTATTTCTTAACATAAGGATTCTGTTTTTTTTTTAAGTTTTACAGAATAAGGGTCCCCTTCCATAAAACATTTTACCATTAGAATTTGTCGTTAGAGTAGAATTAACAGTGAGAAATACTGTACTAATCGCAAGATATTTTGTGGAACAAGGCCTTGATCTTTAATTGCTAACAATGTGGAATGTTATTAGAATTTTCATCTCAAGGAAATGTGATACCATGTACCACTATCTTTAGCTGAACTATATCAACTCAGAATCAGTGCATTTAATTTACAAGCTCTTTTTTTTCACTTACACTGAAGGGATTTGAACTCACAGGCGCTGTTTTCCTATAGATTATAACTGCCATGAGAAGTCACTAAAAGTGGAAGGATTTGAACTCACAAGCGCCGTTTTCCTTTAGAGTTAAACTGCCTTCAATATTGATTATTGCCAACTTGTTTGACATAATTTAACAAATCTGTCTTGGAAGAAAGAAAGACTGATGGAACAGGTCCTGAGGGACAAACTTGGTTTATTTCACACTGATGGCTTCAACGTTCAATCTATCAGGCTGTCGTCATCAACACATGAGTTTTCCAGGTCACAATTTTACTAAGAATCAGGAAGTTTTACTATGTTTATTTAGGGGTAG